TATTTTTTCTTGTCGAAAATCGTGATAAAAAGTAAAAAATCTAAATAAGTGACTTTTCAGCCGGACCGACAACCAAAAGTAATCCGTCACGTACCATTCGATTTTCCAGATTCATCCGATTTTTCTCTCACATTTCCCTGTGTAGCAACGACCGGGATACGTTTTGCACGAAGTTTTTGATTTCCAAAACTTTTCTCACTTCTATCCAACAAAACATCCGAGAAATATCCGCTAATTTTAACGGTTCAACGGTTTCAGTCTCTCGCATTGAAAATAATTCTTGGTTTGGAAACCTCAACTTCAAATTTATTATATGAAAGAGTAATTTTTAAAAACTACAAGACTTGCAACTTGAAATTTCAGGGATAATTTCCCAACAGTCCACTTCACCACTGAATACGGAGGATATCCTGTTTATTAAGTGAAACCTCGCTCCATCAATTCCACAGCTCCAAGAATAATATTTATCTTTGAAATATGTACAGCACGTGTTGGTCGATCCCACCGCCCAAGTGGTTGGCCCGAGAGTTCCAACAAGCCGAAAGCGTTCCCACGTGTACTCCACGTGTTGGCATTTCCGCGAAATCGATGAACCACCAAAAGTCACCAGCACCCCCCGATATTCGTTCACTCCATGACCACTCAAATTCCTACATTCAAACATCATACGACGTTCCACCCGGTATACCATTGGTGTACGTTGGGCTATAAGCTTCGAGAGAGAGGGACCGTAGACTAATGATCCCGGTGGCTGGAGCGCTTTTTGCCGGCATTCTACAGCATTCCCTTTCAACTGCAGGACTCCTTGGGTCGCTCCCTCCATTCTCCTCTTCACTCTCCCCCATCTTCCCTCCGTCGCCCCCTTTATTTCTCAACGTCGGACAACGCACCTTATTCCTCAAGGATATATCTCGGTACAATAAATCCAAAATTGTCCGAAAATAATAGTTGTGTTGGGATACTTCAATTTTTTATGAATCCTCTTCCCTCGAGTTTCAATTGGCATTCGATTGCACTGGGAAACATTTTCTTGATTCATTTTTTTAGTTCTCAATGATGATTTCATGAATTTTATCAATTTTTACTCAGGCACTCCTTGCATTTGCTGAATTTTAGAATTGTCCCCGTGTCCATAGTTATTAATTTTTGGAAATAAAAAAACTTCAGGCCCAATATAGTAATATTCTCCAAGTTTATTGCAGTTCTAGCCAATTATTATTTTGCGTGAAATAAATAATATTTGTATTACAATTTTTAACGAATCTCTTGCATTGGAAATAATTCTTTTGGGTATTTGATTTTCGGTGATGGTTTCATCGTTTTCAATTAATTTTATAACGGCTAATATATAATGGGAGAATTGTTTGTTCAGTTTTAGGGCATCCAAAAGTTTTCTGTTTAAAATTAATTGCATTTTTATTGAAATGTAACATCCAAGTTTTTAGTTTTCTGCGATTATTTCATGAATTCAATTAACTGCTGAGATTGCGATTTTAAGAGGTAACGGCACCCCTCGCATTTGGTGAATTTTTGAATAGTCCTCGTGTCCATAGTTATCAATTTTTGGAAACCAAAAACCTTCAGGGACAGCACGGCATAGTAATGGAGTGATTGAAGTTTTTTGGTTTCCAAAAATTAATAACTGCCGACACAACGACAATTCTAAAATTCAACACATGCAAGGGTACCATCACCGCTTGAACAATGGAAAAATCATTCTCTAGGTTGATTGCAGGTCTAGCCAATAATTTTTCTGCATGAAATAAATACTAGAATTCTAAACCAGTCTCGTGCACTGGAGACTTCTCTCGGTTGTTTGATTTCCAATAATGCCTTCATCGTGTTGTGTGACTCGCCCAAAACTATTGTTTGAAATAATATTTGATATTTTTGTTAAAATCCCACGCAAACGTCTTTCTCTTGAGTTTTCATGTTCGTTCAACTGGATTTTGAAGAATTTCCTCATTTTATGTTGTTGATTTTCAATAATGATTCTATGAATTTAATCATTACGCTGGGGATTCCATGATTTCCTCGGTTTCGTGTAGTTATACCCAAAAATTATTCCGTATGAAATATTCAGGATACGTTTCAGTTGCCGTTGGCTAAAATCCTACAGTTCCAAGAGTCTCAAGTGAGTTTCTGAGCTCTCGCCTCCCGACACCGACAAAAACCAGGGACGCCCGACGACGAATACGACGGACGCCAGGCGCTCTCTGTGCTGCATCATTAGTGCTCCATCTCACTCATCCCTTCTTCCCTCAACACACGTACATACACAGTCAAAAAACTGAGAAGTAAAACATAGCTCAAACGAAGGAGAATTCCATTTAATTAAAAAGGGTAGCGTTAAATCGCGATGCAATAAACATTTTATTCACTCTCAACTGGAATCATTCGATTTCGTTTAGTTTTGTCTCAGTTGAAAATTTATCGGGATTTTATCGAGCTGAAGGGACGGCACAGGGTGTGTGTGTAGGTGTCCTTTGAATTCGTCTTTCGCTCTGAGCTACCCCTTTTTGTTGAGATAAATCGCTTGCCTGTCGCCGATGTCTCTCTGTCCCCTTTTTTTTCTACTGAGGGCTTCAAAGAGGAAAAAAAACAAACGGATCACTTCGTGATTACGTCCGGGACACGATCGGTTTTTTCGAGGGGGTTTTCATCACAGAAAAACATTCAAATTAGGTGGCGAGGTTTTTAATTCAGGTTTCGGGGAGTTGGGCTGTCGTAAATTGGTGGAATGTAAAGCGTCGATTTTTGTATTTTGATTAGACTCAACTTTACATTCTAGTGAAGAATGCAATTTCGAAAGTATTGCGTTGACTTCATCGGATGTAGTGAAGTATAACAGACATCTGTGGCTTTTTAAAAAATATTTGTGAGTCAGAAACAAATTGATCAATTGCGTCTTTCGGTTCCCCAGGCGACGCACAAATGAAAAGTCGAAAATTGTGAAATCTCAGGCGACTATTCTGAATTCCTAATCTATTCAAGAGCAGGGTACACGAGTGCTTTTTTTTAAAAAGGGGTTTTCATCACAGAAAAAAATTCAAATTAGGTGGCGAGGTTTTTAATTCAGTTTTCGGGGAGTTGGACTGTCGTAAATTGGTGGAACGTAATGAGTCGATTTTTGTATTTTGATTAGACTCAACTTTACATTGTAGTGAAGAATGCAATTTCGAAAGTATTGCGTTGACTTCATCGGATGTAGTGAAGTATAACAGACATCTGTGGCTTTTTAAAAAATATTTGTGAGTCAGAAACAAATTGATCAATCGCGTCTTTCGGTTCCCCAGGCGACACAAAAATGAAAAACGGAACGCGGAACACGATCGCTTTTTATAAAAGGGGTTTTCATCACAGAGAAGCATTCAAATTTTTTGATGAGAGTTTTAATTGAGCTTTTGGGAAAACTGGTCTGTTGGAAAGTGTTAGAACGTAATTCGTCGATTTTTGTATTTTGATTGGAATTAACTTCAATTTCCAGTGAAAAATGCAATTTCCAAACAATTGAGTGAAACTATTGGCCAAAATGGAAACTTTCTACTTTTCTTTTAATCTTCGTAACTCAGAAACAAATTAATTAATTGGGTTCCATCTAGACGCATCACAACAGGAAAGAATTGTCCTTTAAAAAAAGAATTATCACGATTTTAAAAAAATCATAAGTGTCCATTTTCCCCTATAACAAACATCTGTGACTTTTGTAAAAATATTTGTAACTCAGAAACAAATCGATCAATCGTGCACACTCGATTCGTTTCAGAGGGAAGGACTGTACTTTTAATGAAAAAAATCTATCCCATTCTACTCATAATTGGATGAGCTATTAGTATTCTTTTAAAATTGAAGTAGAGATGATTGTTCGACCGCGATAATTAATGAATTCGGGCTAGGCGATTAGGAGATTCTGATGAATTGAGATAATGTTTCGGTTTTACATCAGAATCCCCATCAGGGCAAGACCCCGATATATAAACTGGTTATTACCTCATACTGACTATTAACAAATCCAGCTGCATTTTTGTCAAGCCGCATGTGTCCATTTTACCCCGTTTTCCCCTATAACAATCCCCCTCTATCTCGAGAGCAAGCGACGTCAGACGAAAATTAATTAAAGACACGTAAAAAATTAATTCTTCACGTTTTCACCGAATTGAACTCATTCTATCCCCTTAGAAGTAATGATAACCTTCTCTCTCATAATTTAATTCCAACGACAAGTGTGAATGCAACAAACGTCATCCTTCTCCCTAAAATACCAAAATATCTATTCAATTAAGAATAATTATCACGCATAAGGGTGTCCTCAGGGATTACCTATTCGAGCAGTCACCCCAGCCATAAAACTAAAATCAAAACGACTCAGCAAATTCTCACAGCACTAATCCCAACATTGATGATTAATTCAAAGGGTTCAAGAAAAAGGGGCATAAAAATTTATTCCACCGATGTTTTTCTACCCAAGTTTGATTGTAATGGTAATAAAGAGCCTCTGAATTTCTGATCGTTTTCTGTATTGTTTGAGCGTATAGAAAAAGAAAAGAGGGGCAGGGGTTTTGTGGAGTTTCTGTGTACTCCGCACGCATGTGAATGAGATGGGAAACTCGGCCCAGCACATGTGTATTCTCAAACTCGGCGAGGGGAAATGTGTAGTGATGTGTATGCAGAGAAAAAGAATAGCCGTTAACGGCAACTAGCGTTTCTCGCTTTGCCTGGTACTTTTTTCTCCATTTTTTGTGCTTCAATCATAGTTTCACTACCATTTACGTTTCCCTCGCAGGTAATACTTGCACCGCCTTCCCCCCCTCAACTCCGCCCTAACAACGAGCTTTTTTAATAATCAATCTTGAAACTTGGAAACTTTTAACAATTTTTTTCATCACATCAAGAGTTTTTCTACTTCTTCAACACTTCAGCTACTTTTTCCCTGGAAATTCTGATGAAACTCCACGCGCAAGAGAATTTCATTCACATCTGACATTTGAATATTCACTCACCTGACGAACAGCTGTTCCTGATTGTTCACCCTCCAAGAGACCACCGTGGCGCCTGCAACAAAACCCCAAAAAAGTAAAATTCAAATTCACCACCTCGTGTCTCACGAAAAAAGCCAATTTTTTGCAGCTCAAAGGAACAAAAAATCCGACAAAAAACTTCGAACGTCGTACTAGTTTGCAATGCCACCGTGTCGTCATGCGCATACACAAATGTATGCACATAAACCGTAGCCGGTAACCGCGCGAGAGATTTTTTTCCGTATTTATCTCTGTCATCCGACCGAGCCAATCATAGCAGTTTGTCCGAAACGAGCGCATACTCCCAACAATGATTCGCACAACTTGCGACAGCGTTGATGATCGATAGCGAGTGTTACAGCGATTCAGAAAAAAAAACATTGAAAATTGAATTTAAAAGTTTACGTCCGGATCCACGTGGTTTTGCCGGAGAATCCCGCGCTCTTTGCCCTTTTCACTCGGCACCGGAGCAAAAACACAAACCAGTATTTACAAATAGTCCGATCGCGTTCAGTGATCAGTCGCACGAAATAAATTCTAAATGACTTGGCGAAAAAAAATTAAGTCAAAGTTCAAGAGTCTCGAGCAAGAGCACCCAAACACTCGTTAGCAAATGCGAATGAAATAGTAATGACAAAAAGGGGAAATAACTTGATGACGTCAGACACGCAATTCACACTGTTACGTCGGATGAAATTCAAGTGAAATAAATGTAACGCGCACACACCGTGTAAGTTGATCGTGCAGGTGGTATTGTTGCCCCTGTCGAGTACGACAACGCTGGTAGCCGCTGCCATGTTTGAATCGCGAATGCGCCGCCACTCGGCTCGTTTGCCCCTGGGATGTTGAGGAGATTTTAACTCGCCTGGCCCTCACACACGAAACCGCGCAGCTCGACCTTTGTTCAATGCCCCCTAGCTGCCTCGGTCCCTACCCCCTCCAACATACCGAGCTAAGCACGATCATCGTTAACGATAGTCCCGCCACCCTCTTCGAATTATCTTTAACGCTCTCACTTACCCGCCGGTTATCCCCGATTGCGTTGTTGTAACTGTTATCCACCTAGTAACGCCATCTTATCAGGGGCTTGTCAAGGTCATTTGGAAAATTCCGGGAATCGCGGGGGTTTACTCGGGAGGTGCATTCCCGATTGTTGATAAAGTCGCAGAGACGTAGCGAAAGTTTTTTGAGGGTCATTTGATGATGGTAATGATGATGATGGGTAAATTTTTTTTTGTATTTTGATGGATTAGAAAAAGAGATGGAGAAATTTATGGGGAATCAATGCATTTAATATTAATACATTTGTTAATGTTGAGTGCATTAATTTATGCATTTATTTAATATTAATGCATATACATTCATTAATATTAAATGCACTAAGTAATGCATTTATTTAATATGAATGCTCGCATTTGGGAGTATTTTTTAATCTATAGGGGATTGATGTATTTAATATTTTATTTCATAGGATTTAAGGACCCGAAAAGTTGTATGAAGTAGTTCGTACTTGAGGAAAGGATTTCAGGAGTGGAGGGCGTGTAACAATCACCAATCACCGCAAGAATTTTTTTCAAACTCAAATATCAACTGTACCTGAATTTTTAATTTTGTTAATTTGAATTTAATTTGAGAGCAATTTATCGGCGGCATTTCCTATTTATTGCAGAGATTCTTGAACATTGTTTCTCTTTCTGTTGAGAGAATATTGAAATTTCAATGATAGCTTAAATCTCGAAATTTATTGAGAAAACTGAACACTACGTGCAATTGAGTTTTCGATAGATTGAGAATTCTTATGACTTTCTATAATTTCCATTGCTGCATGGAACTAAAAATAGAAAATCCAAAAGGACTACTCATTTTTAAACATTAAAATTTCGTTTACTTGAAAGTCCTAAAGCAACTGGCCGATAGTGTGCTTGCAACGAAGTAGTACAAACCAATAAAGAGTACTTGCGATGAGAATCAAGTAATCGTTCAATTGAACAGGTATAAAATTACTAGTGGTCAAAGGGACAAAGTGGACACTTTCGAATTTGTTTAATGATAAAACCTTATTCAATTGTTGTACACTTCTTTCTCTTTTCTAATGAGTCCAGACATCTCAATTGATCAATGTATTCCTGAGTTATAAATATTTAAAAAAATGTCTGAAGTGTCCATTTCCTCCCACTTTTCCCTACCTCTGCGCTTGAATTTGTCGATAAATATGTGAATTGTAAATTATTAGTTCTGTTTTATTACAGGAATTGCTGATGTTGAAACACCCTGGTGGAAACTCACTCTTAAAATTTCTAGGGAAACAAAAATTGAAATTCTCATCAGCGATTAATATGAAATCCATATATACATTGTTATCGACAACTCAACTAATTTGTTAAATATTCAATCAAATTTCTATATTATTTTTCATACAAAAATTAAAAATATCGATAAATAATTACGGAACACCAGGCGACTAGTCTGAATTCTCAATCTATTCAAAAACCAATTCAATACTCTATCCAACGTCAATAATAAAGACGTAAATCTAGGCTTCAATTAGAATATTTACGTCCGCTCGTCATAAAAAACCAAACTTCCTCGGAATTTGTACTACGAATAAGAATTTACCCATACGAATCCCATGCATGCCACTTAAATTCCGAATAATTCCGGACAATTCATCATAAAAATACTGAAGGCCCGTATTGCCTGACTAAAAAATACCCGAGCAAAGAAAGATCTAAAAAAGGCGTCAACTGCACGGCCTTCCTAGACCCCACTCCAAGGAACCCGTCATAAAATTGAAAAAACTGCAATTGCCCTCGGGAGCGTTCAACCAAAAAAGAGATGCGCCCTTCAATTTCCCCCGGACTTCTCTCCGAAGCGCGAAACCATCCCGACATCCCCGAAGACGAATTCAAAAAGAGCTTCGAATTCCCCCAATAAAAATCATAATCTCGTAATTTTTAATGCCTCAACAAAGAAAGTAGCGCCACGGGAGTACCAGGAACTAACAAACCACCTCGTGCACATGTACATAGCCGAGCATGTACGTGGATTGGTGGACAAAGTACTCGGAGACGGCGCCTGAGAAAGTACGGCGCAGCAGCGGCGCAAAACGGAGTAAATCGTGAGTGGCTCTTCCAACACACGGGGGTACGTGAGAGTGAGCTGGATCGGTAAATGAGGCAGACAGTGGTCTCTCCGGGTCGAAAAAAAAAACATATATAATGAGTCCCGGTGATGTTTCACGAGGGAAGTACTTTCAGTGCCACTAGATCCACATGAACAATAAAAAATAAAATTCAATGATACCCCAGCAATGACGAAATTTCATTCGAAAATACACCGGAGTGGAAGAGAATTGGTTTAGTGTTTTCCTCGGACTATGCATCGTCGGGTTTATTCGTACGAGCGATCCGTAGTCACGTCGATAGTCGATACCCTGGGCTTTGGAGAGTAACACAGTGGCCCGGTCGCGTGTCCTCGTTGTCAAACCAACGGCTCTGACAGGCGGTAACTTCCTCCCCCCCGTACACCATTCCCCAGCATAACACTAGACTTGAAATATCACTCAATTTCCATAATTTCCACTTATTTTTGAATTCGCCAACTGATTTCAAGCCGATTGCGTTTTGTTGTTTATACTCTTGTGATCAAGTGTGTGGTGCTGTGGGGGAGTGAGGGATGAGGGCCGGGGGGATAATTCGGGTGACGATTTGAGGGCAGAAATGTTGAAGTTTGGCAGTAAAAACGACGTTACTGTGGTGCATCGCGCCACTATTCGATTACTCGACGACGCCGAAATTATCCACTGTGACTTTCAGGTAAAAACATTTTCATTAATAACACTCATGCATTATTTTTCGCCACTGACAGTCGATGGATAATTTCTGGGCACCGCTCCGGGGGCTTTTAAAGATCGCGATAACGAGAGTGACGGAATTCCGGGGGAAGTAGAAAAAGCCCTGCTGGACAGACACTCCAACAACGTGCCAATGTTCCGTGTTTTGCATCGTAACACTTTTTTAATACCATTTATTTCAACTGTTTGCGCCGGGCGAATGTGCCTGCCATAAAATTCACCGATAAATTCCCTCCATTCTTCATGCATCTCCGATCATATTTGATGCACGTTGGGTAGGATCGGCCGTTTCTCTGCACTTGACAGGCCATGCATTACCCATATCTGGATGAGAGGAGTGCGGGGTAAAATACGGAAGCACATGAAATGCTGAAACTTTTTCCAGCGTTTATCGCGACTTTGCAATTGTCAGAGATTTGTTTGCCTTTCGTCGGAAGCATTTCATGTCAATATTACAACTTGTTCCCTTCAACTCAGTGTTTTATTTTTCCCTCAGTCTTTTCACTGTCTCATTCAATGCGAGTGACAATTTTAGCTCATTACTGGAGACAATCGCCCGCATCTCCTATCGGTAAATCTGGGAGAATCGATCGGAGGAAGGGTGAGAGGAGAAACAAATACAAAGGGCAAAAGAGCAGCCGAATGTATTGTATCGGCAGAATGGCCCAGTGGATCTTGTTATTTTATATTTTTTTTCCCTTCAACTCTCGCCCCCTATCCACACTTTCGTCAGTGGCCGCTCCTGGGAATGTGGGACAAGGCTTTTATTTTTGGCACAATTCTCGAGCCACCCTGCCATCTCATCCCAAAGGGGATGAAACTTTCACCCCCTCCCCCCCCCCCCCCGCCCCCCCCCGCCCCNGCAAAAGAGCAGCCGAATGTATTGTATCGGCAGAATGGCCCAGTGGATCTTGTTATTTTATATTTTTTTTCCCTTCAACTCTCGCCCCCTATCCACACTTTCGTCAGTGGCCGCTCCTGGGAATGTGGGACAAGGCTTTTATTTTTGGCACAATTCTCGAGCCACCCTGCCATCTCATCCCAAAGGGGATGAAACTTTCACCCCCTCCCCCCGCCCTCCGGCCCCCCGCCGCCCCTCACACACTCTCTGACATCTTTCTACTGCCTCTCACACTCTGTGCATTTCCTAGCTTTTTCATCCCTCAAGGCTCCTCCACTCGACGCTACTCGCAGTCGTTTTATTTCAATGGGTTTTCCACTGTGCCAGAATTGCTGCACTCGATCACAATCGCGTTAACGTCGACGAGAGGTCCACTCTAAAACCACTGATTGGCCCCTTCCGTATGTTTGTAGACCTTGCTCAACTGAGGAAAAATGGGCCCGAAGAGCCCATTTCTACACTGTTGAAAATTTTTGTCTGAAATTTCCGGTACACTTTTCGGAAATTTTTGTCGATTTTAATTACCACTGAAATTTCAAGGAATTTCGTAATTGAAAATTCGGAATTTCGTGGAAACAAAGAGAACTGTAAATGTCAGTTCTATTTTTCCTTAAAAATTTTCTCAAAGTCAATTTCATGAGAAAAAGATGAGGTCTCCAAAAATTCCAGCAACTTACATCATTTATTTATAAAAAAGGGAATATTTTGAAGAAAAATATGTCTTTGCAAAATTCAGGGTGTTAGGGTCAAGTTTAATAAACATTTAAAAAATCTGGAATCAAAATTAGAAAAGTTTACGTTTTGGAGAAGATTACTAAAATGATTGAAAAATTGTAATTTTTGTAGATTATAACCATTTTTCATGATAAATTCATAAACAGTAAATTTTCCACGCTAAACAACTTTTTTTCGGAATCACGACAGATTCATCTATATTCGAAATTCCACGATAAATCTATATTATCTAAAAAAAATTTCTTCGAAAGTTTAAACAGTTTTCATTATTTATTAATAACAAGGGAATATTCACGCGAAAAAAAATTTCTGGAAAATATAATTAAAACGATTCTGATTATGCGTTGATTTCTCAAATTCGTGCCGACCTCAAATCCGATTCATTGGCGATTAAAGATGATCTATTTGGAATTTATTTTCGAAGTCGAAGTTTTTCCACTTCATCCGCTAATTTTCCATTGACTATCGTTCTACCTCTTGCCCTGTCTGATGCAATCTTCGTAATATGAATGTATTGCTTGTTCTGAAGCCATCGAAGACGCTCAATCACTGAAATCCAGCATTCGATAAGATTCTCAATTGAACTGAAATTCTATTTTAATCCCCCCAGATCCATAAATTATCGGGCCAAGTGCTTTGGCGGTGTCTTGTCGAATTTCCGCATTGGATTAGAGGGATTTTAATATGTATGGGCATGAACCCAGTGACCCAGGTAACCCCCGGAAACGGCCACGTGAAGATTACTCGCTTTGAAGTGAACCAAGAAGGATCAAAGTGTAACGTGACACCCCGTCAGGTTCGCGTATTATTTTTATAGAGCTTCAAGAGGAGCGTTCTTCGCGTTTCGAGTGTTGCGTCATGTATTACAGCTGTCTAAAAAGAAGCATTACGATACGCATGGCGAATGCAAAACAAGTTGTAATCCCGTTCTGCGCCGATGGAAAATTTTGCTTGAAATTCCGAATAAGATTTCTGAAGAGCTTAACAAACAGCACTTCACAGGGAATTTCAGTAGATTTTGTAGTGGCGATATCATTTAATATCGCGAAATTCAAATGGAAATATAATTTCGACACGAATAAACAATTCTACGAATAATTTCCTCTAATAAAGGTCCCGGAGGATCTAACAGCCCACAGAAATATCTTCGAATATAACCACCGAGTAACGCTACCCCTACAAAATATCCGTTTTGTAAATAAGTAATGGCGAATGTGCGTGCACATAACAACACGTACAGTTAAACTGGCTCATCTTCAATAAATATTAACAAAATACATCGAACAGTAGTAGAAAACAAAAAAAATAGCATAGAATACTTAATTTCCTTCGTACCCATTTTACCCTGGGGTTTATCTGGATAGCAGGGCTTGGGGCAACCGGGCCTTACAGTTTTACATTTATACTTAATCCAAAACAGCCAATAGAATTTTCTAGTACATGCCCTACGTTTTCTATTCAATTTTTCCATGTGTGTATCATTCACAGAAAACAGTATAAGGACACATCAAGCCCTGTTCACTACATTTTATTTTACCTTTTCTGAAAGATATTTCGGTCTTTTTCATTCAGAATATAAAATAATATGACTGAGGATAATTTAGCATTTTTGTAGTGTGTGTGAACCCCTACAAGAAGCTATTTTACGCTTATCTATTGACGATATATTCTCTATTCGTGTAAATAACCCCCAAAATGAGGCTAGTTATCCCCCACGCCGAAAAGAGTTTATACTCTCTAAAAGGGGTGAAATACGCTAAACAGGGATTGATTTTTCCCTACAGTTTCTTATGTGTCGAAACTTGCGCATTCGGTCAACTCGAAGGTCCTCAATTCTCTTGAAATTTCAACATGAATAAACAATTTACGAGTAATTCCCTCTAATCAAGTTCCAAGGGGATCTACCAGTCCACAGGAATATCGTCTCCGAATAATTGAGGAGTTATTTCATGCTAGTGACAATATTGTCACAAAGTAACTCTACCCGTACGAAATATCTAGTTTGTGAATACTTAATGGGGGATGTGCGTGCATATAATAATACCCAGAGCTGTGGATCACTAATGGGATTCACCTGTCCGTCAGCGACACTCACATTGTTACACGTGGGGATCTGGACGGCTCGAGAGATTCGAAGTTGATTAAAATTGGTACTATATGGTGATTGAGCGCTGGATTAATTGCGTTCTCATTTTTTGAGTTACTAATTGCAAGGCATTAGCGATATCGAAGAGGGACACATGCTGTGGTGGGTTTTTTACTACGATTAACAACAAATTTCATTTCACGAGGATCCAGTTTGGTGGAATGTAACACAACTCACATGGAAAATACGAGATCCTGAAATTCTGTCCGTGAATATTTATTTGGGTCACAGTTTTCATCCAATTGGAATTATTTTGGACATTGGAGTATTCTTTATTGAGTTACACTGTTGAATATTTTCGTCTGCATTTTCGCCAAATTTCGAAAATTTGTCGTGTTCAAGTTCCACTGAAATTTCAGAACATCTTGTCATTGAAAAACCAGATATTCCGTTGATTTTCTGTTGAAATGATCTGGAAATCAATAAAATACTTGATTTTTCAGTTCAATTATCCTGTGAAAATGCAGAAATATCAAAAAAATTTAGGGAAAAAGTGAAAATTCATGTCATTTTGTTTGTGAATATTCACGTTCCACTGAAAATTCAATCAAATTGTGAAATTTCCATGCATAGCATCGACCCCGTACGTGAGGGGTTAAAACTTGAAATTTCATAACCATTTTTTCCCTAAATCCGATTCAATGTCACTCTCACGAGATTTACTATATCTTCCATGAAATTGCAAAAAATTTCTAACAGTGTACGAAAGGAGGTTCATTACTCATTTTTCCCTCTCCTTTTTTCAACTTCCCAACACGAAGGAAGTTATTGTAGTTTTATTTTTAGCGTAGTACTTCCACATGGGGATAATAATAAAGACTTGTAGAAATGGTGCCAATTTTTCATTACTTCCAATTTCAAGAATTTTTATTTTTAATTATCCTATTCCGGTGCCAAGATCACCAAACGTATCGGTGAGAAGAGAGTGGGGGACTCCCCAGTGTGTTAGTGCGCCACTAAGAATGCGTGGTGGAGCACGCACACCACTACAGAGTGGCGAAAATTGGGGACAAGCTTGGCACCAGAATGAGTTAACGGAAAAAATGTGAGGCAACAGGGAAAATTTTTCTTTTCGTAATGCGATTTGGTGAAAAAGTACTCAAAAGACGTACAAATGTCATCCCACTTTCAGCAACTGCCTCTTCCTGGTAATTTTTTGTTAATATTTTTTCCAATGATTTCAAAAATTACCAAACAATCCAGGTAATCGGAGGGTAAAACCCATTTCAGAAATTTTTAGTTTGAATCAAGGGGAAAACACGAGGCAAATTAAGGATAAGTTTCCTTTTATAAGCAATTTCGCAGAAATGAACAGTAAAACTTGTGAACTATTTATGAAAAAATACAAGAAAGAGATAAATTTGATCGTGCATTCAGCGAATTATTACTCTCCACAGTTTGGTAATTTTTCTTTGCAGTTTCCTCGTCATTTTCCGTTGATTCTTTTCTCAGTGTGGGATTTAGATCATGCGGCATCGAAAAGAAGAGCATACAATAAATACTGGATGACATCCAATTTCCATTAGCGTATTCGTTTAAGGGAATTGTTCAGACATTCAAAGGAAATGTCCCAACGAATTAATTGAGCCCAAGTATACTGCAATTGGCTCGAATATAGCTCAATTAAAACCAATTATTGCAGGAACTGTTGGGGATATCCCAGTACCTCTTACAACTTTGTCCGGACTGCACTATCGATCTGCAGATTTCCAATCATCAAATTAAACTGCGGGAGAGTAACTTGAGGAAAGTCGTGGGTAATCAGCGTCATTCATATTACATTTTGCGGGGAATCACTTCTCATCAAACGCTTCCTGCTTATAAATAAATAATGGGTGTTATTTCAAACTTGAGAAATCTCAGGTTCGCGGGTCAAATAAATTTCTACACGCACAGAAATTCTTTAGAAGAATTCTAGTGTCAGTATGGGGAAAGGGACCGGGAAAAAAATCTCATTTCTCGCATTGTTTACAAAAATTCGCAGAAATTTTACTTCATAGCACTAAAATTTCTCTTAAGTTCTCTCCGTATAGTCAAATTTAGAACGTGGACTAATTTCGTGTGATCAATAAAAAATGAAAAAATTAAATTAAATCAATTAATTTAGTTTAGTTTAATTAATTTTCCTCAAAAGTCCCTTCAACTTCCTTTTTTTAATGCATGTAGATTCCAAAGTTTAAATAATGAAATCATGTAATGCAAAATATTCTAGTATCCAGAGTTAACTCCGGCTTAAATACAGCCGCGACATTTAATCCCAAACGTTGAAAAGGACTTCACCCTAAAAAATACCCAGAGCACTCGGATATCCTTACCCACAACCATTTGACGAAAGTGTCTCAGCAATAAAATACCCATTTCGTGGTGACAAATTAACTTCCCCTATTCCACAGGCTGATTAACCCACCTCATGACGAAAACTTTTCGAATAAATTTGTCAGGAACAAGGGAAACTTTTCAAAAATCTCCATTCACGTGGAATACTCCCCCAGCGCTCCCGGAAAAGGTCAGGGAGTAGGAAATGTCCGAATGGAGTGGGACAGGGGGGTAGGAAAAATGGGAATCCACACATTATACATAAATGGAGAATTCCCAGAGAAGGAATAGAATCAAGGTCTATGGCCGTGTGGTATAAATACATATGCATGTACCAGTGGACATGCATATGGATGACAACGGAGAATATACCCTTTTGGAGTCACGACAGTGAGCCATCCCTTTTCGTCCAATTGTGTCAGACTCTAGGTCTCCTTGGCCTCCCTGTTCGTTTATTAACGTGCGTGCGTCGATCGCCCATTAAAAAAAGCTCGTAAATACACAATCGTAAGGCTCCCCTTCCCCTTCTTGTTGCTATCAACATTGTGGACAACTATGTAGCGAGGTATTTATTGATGATGCAGGAGAGACTCAATCGAAACAAAAACCCGTCACTTTATTTTCTACATTTTTGTTCACTCTTTTTCACACTCGTCTGCATTTTTATCGGCAGACGGAAGTGGCGTGCAGTCACGTATTGAAAGAGAGACAGGCTCTGATACGAAAAAAGGAAAATTTATGAATGTTGAAGAGTTACAAACACGCCTCGGGGTTTATTTTTCATCGTTTCCTTTTTTTCAAGCCGTTTCGCTTCTTTTAATGACACTTTTTTCATGTTGAATAAGCGAGTGTTTTCCTGGAGTGATTAGAGTGATTAAAGATGAAAAGGCGGAGTACACGGTCACGCTGTGACCCGGGATCATTTAATTTCCTCCGCAATGTGTGTGCTTCCGCGTCCTTGGGATTATAGAGACTCGTTTTTATTCACAATAATTCGTCTGGAATGTAATTTTTAGATTTTCCATGTTTTCCAGGCGTGTTAATCTACTTACTCGCATTTGAAGTGGCTTTTTTGTCGGCAGCGGTTGGGGAAGGAAATTCATTCCTTCGTGGGTTTTTATTTATTAAAGTTTTGTTATGATACAAGTGAAAAAAGGCACCCCTTTTCACCAGTATCACTGAATGTCGTACGATACATCTGAAAAATGTAGTGTGTGAGTGAAAATGTCTTTCGGACGAGTATCATTACAGGCTCACACTCATCAAATACTTTTTTTTCAATTGTATCGTAATATATACTATTTTGTTACCTCGCTGAAGTTTACTATTTCTGGAGTGCTCTTGCGGAAATTCTCTCTTGATTTCTCATTCTTTTTTCTAGGAGCAAAAGCAGAGTTGAATACAATCGATTTTTTTGCATTTGAAATGCATTTGAATCGTATCGATTTTAAAGGTCCTTAAAAGAGACAAAGGATTTGCTGAATTAAATTCGGAATAACAGTTCTTGTTTTTGAAAGAAAAAATGTTGAAAAACCGGATTCAACTCATCTTCACATGAGAAAATCAATGATTTGTGATATTTTAACTACAAATGGAGATTGATATAAAATTTTTTTCTAAATAAACGTCATGAAATAAAAAATAATTTCTAGTATTCATCTAAATTTGAAATAAAAATGTTGGAAAAATAAAAATCAGTTGCAAAATGTTTGAAAAATCCAAAACCTGCAAATAATCAAATCTTTAAAACACCCCATTTTGAAAGGAAAGTTGATTCTGAATCCACAATGATTTATCTAGAATATTTTCTTCACTTTTTTGCTGTTTTTCAGGCGTGTTAACCTACTTACCCTTATTTTCTGCATCTCCCTCCGCACCTGAAGCTTGCAATTTTACGCCTCTTAATTTCATTTCCCACGTACTCCTTTTTTTCTTTTCATTTTATTTTTATTTTTTCCAGCCCCAGCACAAAGGAAGGTACATACTCGAGTATGTGTGCAAACAACTCAACATCATCGAGACGGATTACTTTGGGCTTCGTTACGTGGACCAGTGCAGGCAAAGAGTGAGTGGAAAAGTTTTACCCGAGCAACGGGAGGGAATTCATTTGAGCTGAGTGGGGTGAATGAGAATAACATTGATTCAAGACGAACCGAGTAATAGTAACAATACTGCTGCTCAGAATAGACTCAGTAGCATTGGGATGAATTGGAAATGAAGGGTCCATCGATTTCTATCAAATCATTTTCTCCGGTATAAATATTACCATATTGTGTGCCGTGAGTGCAGGAAGTTTAATCAATTATTGGTCCGAGGAAAACGCCCCGAAATTGATTGAAGCACTTTTTTATTTTTAGTCCCAGGAATTAACTCGATTTCGCTTATTGCATTTAGTCAACCCTTTCATCCATTTATTCAATGAACGAGATGAAATGATTTTATATAGAATCTAATTTTTTATTCAACAAATGTTAAATTCTACGTAATTGTTCCGGGCGATTAATTAATTAAGTCCGCTCGATTGGAACACAATTGATAATTGATGAAAATTCAACGTATCAAGTTTCCGGGAAATTTTTTAAGCAAATGCATTCGTCGTGCGAAAATAGTAGTATGAGTTAACTCAACTGTACTGGGATCGAATCGAATCTGAGATGAAAAATGTTTATGGACAGAACGTTCTGTGATTCATCATCTCATGAAATCATTAAGGTATATCCCTAGAAAACAGTTTTTTCTTACGACTGTAGATAGTTTCTGCGATATTCAATTCTAAAAAAATGGAAATTTCGAGAAATCATTTCTCATTTGATTTAAACAATTAATTAATAAATAATTTCTTAGTTGATTCAAACAGTTATTGTTGCCGTCATCAACAACATATGAGGGTAGAAAACCTCAATAACTTATAAGAATGCAATACATTAATTCATTTAGAATTTTCCCCGGAAATTCATGGGGACTAACGTTTGTGTTGTGTTGAATGCATGATTTCTCTCAAATTATTTTTCTGAGTACGGATATTATCATACGAATGAATTACGAGTGCGGAGAGTTTCATGAATTATTGGTCCCGAGAAAATGCATTAAAGTTTATTGAAAAACTTTTATACTTCCGGTCCTAGTCATTAGTTAGGAAATGAAGGGTCCTTCGCTTATTGAATTTGGACGGAATGTTTGGACGGAACGTTTTATTGACAATTGACACATTTAGTAATCAAATTAGTGTCCCAGGACTTCTATTGTTTTTCTAGTTTTCCAAATGGAACACCAGTTAAATTCTACGTAATTGCGATCAATTAAGGTCAGTTGAATGTTGTTGTTATCAGTTGTTGTTACCACAACTGATAACGATCAATTAAATCAACACTGATTGGCGAAGCTTGACATATTTGAATATTACTCAAAATTATCTCAACAGAGCTTTTTTCAATACTTTCCCGGCTCTTTAAATGCAATTGGTATTAATTTCTCCGTTGAGATATTTTCTGTCCATACGTCAATGAAAACTTATGACTCGGTTCGTCATTTTTCACTAGTTTTGTCGTGCGCCGAAACTCAAATATGTATTAAATCGATGAGTCCCAATTTTGTTAAATTCAAATGAACCGGATGCATCCTAATTCAGTAGAATTTTCCTTCATTTCCATCCATTCTTCACTACTTTTCACTCTCATTTCATTACCATTTCGATGAAATGAGTTTAAAAAAAATCCAATTTTTTAAAAACTCAATTCATCCCAAGGGCTGTTCCATCAGAATATCCTTAACGAGGTTTCGTTGATTGAATTGAGTCAACGCTGCCTCCGTTTACTGAATTAACTCGTGAAAAAAAAAATTCCCAATTAAAAAATTTGATTAAACCTGTGTTATTTTTAGCATTGGCTGGACCTGGCTAAAACAGCGATCAAGCAAGTAAAAGGTATATACACCCATTTAACAAGCACTCTCATCTTATTGATTTGAAGCACGACAATGCACTCCTATAATAATTTACAGTGGAACAGTAGTCACAAGGTCTCGATGGTAAAATGGATTGTGGGGAGGGGGAGGGGGGGTGGTGGTGGTGGTGGTGGTGGTGGTGAAACAGAGTAAGATGGAGAGAGGAAAAAAGCGACAATAATTACCGGAGCAAGTGAACCGCGCGGGTTAGACAAAGTGGAGGGTCTAAGGCGCCCACACTCTACGACTATTATATTTCTTTTTAACCCGCCTCGAACATATTTTTCCATGGAGGACGGTATCGCGCGATACGAGCCAGGCGACGGTCGATGCGATATCAAACTTTCAGAAGCTACCCCTCTCTCCATTTAACTTGCCTCCCACTCGTGCTCCCCTCACGAATCCCTTCACCCTGGGCATGAAATTCGAGAGGACGACGTTACCCATTTCTGTATGATAAATCGTTTTGAGACATTCACGTCGCGTCCCAGGGAGTTGAATAAGTCGTTGGAGATTGCAGAATGTTCAGCCGATTGAAAAGGAGGAAATGCCTTGTGGATTTTTAGCTATTGAATTTTTTTGTCATCGCTTCGTCGATGTTCAGTATTTCTGGAGTTATTTCGCGGAATTTCTTCGGAGATTTCATATTCTTGTTCTCATTATTTGGGAGGTGAAAGACTCGAATCCATTCATGTACTACAGCATTAAGACTTCTACGATTCAGTGAGATCGACAAAGTGACGTGTAACTTCTTTTCTATTTTCACAATAATTTTTTGAGCTTCAAAATGAAACTGAATTCATTGGTCTTTTGTTTTGTCTTGAGGACATTTTCACCAGTGATTATTTCTAACCCTTCTCAAAATGGATATATGTGAACGTTATGTGCAGAAAAAGAAATTTATGTACTAAGGGAAATAAATTATTATTGTAAATTAACTGAATTCGTTGGATTCGTGTCTTTTGGTACGTAGGCATTGAAGAATTAAACAGATCCATTTTGTCGAAAGTAATTGAAGGAGAAAGTTCACGAGTTCATGGATTTTTATCCGTTGAATTTTTGTTTCATCACTTCGTCGATGTTCGCATTGTGTGGAGCTTTCTTACGCAATTTCTCGTGAGATCAAAAGCGTTCTCTTTTTCTTTATTATACAGCCGTCGGGCGATTTCAATGGTATCATTGTGCCATCATGTCAAGAGGAGAAGAAAGGTGAAAGCACAAGGCAAAAGACTATTTTCATTTTTCAATTACTCGCTATCGTGAGAGGAAAATATTACTTCTCTCTATTTTCAAGATAATCTTTTGAGCCTCACAATGAAGCGGAATTCGTGGGAGTTGTATCGCTTGATCCGTAGGAATTGAAGAATCAGATAGCTTTATTTCGTCGAAAGCAATTGGAGGAGAAAGTTCACCTCTTCATACATCACCCCTATTGATTCTGTTTCTTTTCTCACTTTGTCGATATTCACTATTCTCCTGTGGAAATTCTTTTATGATTCTTCATTCCTTCATCCCCACTATCTGGAGGGTCACAGAAGCAGAAGGGACTATTTCCATGTTCAATAATTCGAGACCGTCGAAGTGAAATATAACTTTTTCTGTTTCATTTTCAAGATATTTTTTGGGCTCCACAATGAGACGGGATTCATTTGAATAGTACCCCTCGGCCTGCAAATATTGAACATTGAAATAGTTCCATTCTGTCGGAAGCGTCTGCAGAGGAAAATTATTCCTTCGTGAATTTTTATCTATTGAAATTTCTTTTCATCGCTTCCTCAAAGTTCACTATTCCGGAATTCTTTTGCGGAAATTCTCTCGAAATTACTCATTCCCTTTTTCGTCATTACATTCCTTGGAGCTTCACGCTTTTTTTAATTCATAAAAACTTCAGGATGTCTGATTTTTTTCATTCATTTAATTTCGAGGGGAAAATCCATTTCACCTCTTGGCATTTTCGCCAGCATTAATAGCATTATCAAAACGATAAATTCAGAGCTGGCTGATTATAATCCTGCACGCTACTTACATTGCAGATATGGAGCCAATTCTGTTCAGTTTTCGTGTTAAATTCTACCCGCCCGATCCCCTGAGGCTCAAGGAAGAGATCACGAGATATCAGATTTATCAGCAGTTGAAGAGAGATCTACTGCACGGTAGATTGTACTGCAGTCCTGGTGAGGCAGCGCTGCTGGCAGCCTGCATACTTCACAGTGAGTTACGAAGCAATGACATTAGTCGGGTAATTGTTCCAAACAATTGAGTACAGTAAGGAGAGATGAATTTCATGGTGAGGTTTCTGATTGTCGTTAAATCTCCATCATATCGTCTCGTTATCTCCTTATTTCACTCAAACGGAAGCCCTTCACTAACCGAGATATCCAATTTGGGGGAACTTTTGACGTTAATTAGACGAACTGGGGGAATACGATCCGGAAATTCATGTTGGTAACTACATGTCAGAGCACAAGCTATTGTTGAAGCAGACTGAGAGCATTGAGGAAAAAGCTATGGAGCTTCATCAGACGCAGCTCAAAACCTTCACTGCGGAGCAGGCGGAGATACATTTTCTCAGGCTCGCTGCTCAACTTGACACGTATGCGGTCGATCCACATCCTGTCAAGGTAAAAATACAGAGGAAAGATTTGATTTTCGGGGACTTGTCACTGATTTTCAAAGATCCAGCCCCGATTCAGTAGCGAAGCGGTAAACTGGGTCGTCGATTTTGACTATTGACCAGTTTTTGACGAATATCTCGAAATCTAAAAGAGATACAGGAATTATTGTAATTACCTTTTTTGTAGAGCTAACTGAGGGCTATAAAAAAGGTAGTGAGCAAAATTTTGGTATCTGTCTTAGATTCCGAGATATTATTCATCAAAAAATGGCCCACAGTCAAAATCGACTTGAACCGGTTTACCGCTTAGCTGAAATCTGAAAAAAAATCCAGAGTGATCTAGATCGTAAACTTGACGAAGTCCAGAGAGATTTTTTATGTTCAGTGTTACCCTTAATTATATATTCAAGCTGAAAGTTGCCGTGTTTTTCTGAAAATTCGCCTTATATACGATACACGGCCCGGAGTTTCGGAATAACAATTTGAAAATCTAACTACTTATGGTATTTTTGGCGGATATTTTCATTGATAGGGCTTCAAGACACTTCAAAATGAGATGTCAAATTTTGTCAAAATTTTCTGAGGCTTCACTGCAGTGTAATTTAAAATTTAAAATTTAAAATTTAAAAAATTGGAAAAAGTGCGGCGCGACGCTCATAGCGCGACCAACAGAGTGTTAAGGATTCGCGATTTTTCGTGACATTATCAATAATTTCTAGGGACAACGTCACGAATTTTCGTGAAAACGTCACTAATTTTTAAGAAAATGTCACTAATTTTCAGGGACTAATCTCTAATTTTTCGGAATTTATCATCAAATTTCAGATAGAAATCCGTAATGATCAGGTTTTTTTTCGTCAGTGTCCAATATTACCAATAATTACCAACATGACTTCTAAAAATCAGTGACGTGTCTCCGGAAATCGGTGTCACGTTCCTGAAAATCAAAACTGTTTTCTCTCGGTAAACATCTCTGGGAGAAACATTCTGAAATCTGAGACCGGATAACAAAGTAATTTTATCCACTGACCAGGATCACAAAGGAACTCAACTCTACCTAGGAATAAATCATCATGGAATTCTGACGTTCCAGGGCTCAAGAAAAACCAATCATTTTCGGTGGTCGGAAGTTCAAAAAATCAACTACGAGGGGAAAATGTTCATTGTTCATTTAACTATACATGAGGTGAGTTTAAAATATTGTCAATTCCAAAGGAATAAAACAAGGGGATGATGGGCAATTTTCCACCAGTGATAGTCACCTCCGAAACATTCAATCTCATCGCGTTAGAAATGAATAATTGTTCCTTAAATCAAAATCAATATTCTCCGTTTGAGTTATGGCGAATTTTTTAATTTTTTCATAAAATTGAATTTGAAGATTAAGAATACGAAAAGAAGCCAAATGATTAAGAGAATAATAGAATCTTTATGCAATGCTCTTTAATCATTTCATAATTTATTAAATTGTAGTCCCAAATTCCCTTTTGTGAATCTTGGGGAGAGAAATATTCAAGAAAAATTACGTATCGTGTCTGTAATTCCGGAGCGAAATATGGTTGTAGGAAACTTTACGGAACTGTCACGGAATTTTTGCGGAGCATTCCCCAATTTGTATCTGAATCTCCTATGAAAAATTACGACACCGTTACTTGAATTTTCTGCGTCGATTTCGTAATCGGTGAGTGAATTGCGAGTTTCGTAATTTTTACTGAACATTTCTCTCCGCGTGCGAGAAAAAATCTCCATTTGCAACTTCGTCGATTAAAAATGGACGAAAATATACTGTGACATCACAACCTGCGCAACCCCTCCCCCGATCGCGTGACGTAAGATTTTAATTTGCATTTTCCCTTTGTACACTGAGAAAAATATGATTCTTCTGACTATATTCCACCACCATCGAATTATAGTCAAAAAGTCCTCAACAATTTTTCATGGGTTACGGTAACTATGGCCGGAGAAGTAATTACTACAATGGAATGTAGTCATTGCAACTATTTTATAGTTCAGTAGCGAAGCGGTAAACCGGGTTAAGTCGATTTTTACTTTTGGCCATTTTTTGATGAATATCTCGGAATCTAAGAGAAATAGCAAAATTTTGCTCACGACCTTTTTTGTAACCCTTAGTTGGCTCTACAAAAAAGGTTATGACAAAAATTTTTGTATCTCTTTTAGATTCCGAGATATTCGTCAAAAACTGGCCAACAGTTAAAATCGACTTAACCCGGTTTACTGCTTCGCTCCTGAGTTCTACTCACGATAGATTTGTCGTGGTAACTTTTGAACTTTGGTTAGTTTAACAGCATTTTTATTTGCAAAAATTACGCTTGTGAAGTTACTATAATGTTATGTATCGTTCACCAAAACTGCCTCAACTATTTTTTTATTGTAAATCGAACTTGAGATTTTTCTCTCAGTGTATTTTCCCTTCTCGATGGGCAACAGCGAAAAGCCCTTGAACCTGACTGGACAAAATGTCAGGGTAGGGATCTCGCTGACGCATTAACCCACGTCCTTGATTTTAATCCGAAAAGGGGTTTTCGTCTGTGGCTTTTCATTACGAGAAAATCACATTAGGGTCGCGTGAACGAGACTACAAAGAAAATGGTGAAAACATTGAGCAAAAATAAACGAAGCGCAATATCTTCACCATCTTTTTTCCAATGTCGCTGATACGATTACACAGACCAGAACCCCCTTCCCTCCCCCGTGAACCCCCACCAGTGTCGGAATAATCCACTTATTACTCGGTCGCATGTTTCTTTCTTTTTTTCACTTGCTCTCACACCGACTGGATATCACTCAGGACTTGAGGACGAAGGTGAGTACAGAGACGTGTGTACCAGGCCAGTGTATTGACGGGTTCTCGTATGAGGCACCTCGATGCTCCGCCGAGCACATCGAGATACCTTTTTCGAGTTAACGGGCACCGTAATCCATGTGAAAATCCGGGGAAAATGTATTTCCCAGGAATTCCTACGCCGCTAGTGTTGAAATTTTCTTTCCGCGGGTTGATGTAGTTTTCATTATTCTCCCACGTACGAAAAAACTTCACAGAAAAACTTAGGGCATTCGATTTATCTAGACAACTCAATCTATTGAGACATTTTCTACAGAAACTCAGTAGCGAAGCGGTAAAACGGTTCAAGTCGATTTTGGCTAGTGTCCAGACTTCAATGAATATCTCGAAATCGGAGGGAGATAGCAAAATTTTTGTTAAGACCTTTCTTGTAGCCCTGCATTCGCTCTACAAATGAAGTCATTATGAAAATTTCGTTATCTCCCTTAGATTCGGAGATATTCTCAAAAAACTAAGGGCTAAATCACTAGTGAATTCTCCGGCTCAAATTTTGGTTTTTTTTTCGTTTGATTCTTCTTTAATGAAACGAGGAGAAAAATATAGCGGAATAAACTTGGATAATTCATGTCGTTTTCTTAGGAATTCCTACAGAAAGTGTCTCAATAGAAAAAGTTGTGCAGAATGATGCAATTACTAGTGATGTCTCCTGTAGAATAGTTTCTATTGGACATTTCCTTTAAAAAAACGCTGCAAAGTAGCGAAATTCTTGAATAGAATTCGCCGAGTTTTTCTATGAAATCTTTTCGTGCATGTCATCTTAAAAGTGCGCATTATACTTCGGCTAGAGACTAGACATTACATTACTGATAACGAGTGAAGTCAAGTGCAGCGAGAAGGAAGTTGAAAATAACTTTTCTGTAATTTTCTCCTTTATTCCGTATTTTCTTCTTCAGTGAGAATTCTTCAAGTTTTAAACTGATTTAATACTCAACTGAAATAAGAAAACAACTCTCAAAGTATATTCATCCGCGCCATTTACCCGAGGCGCTGTAGTTTAAACGTAGAAATAAAGGACCTCCCGTTTTGCAGAAAAAACACACTGTCGGCTTCAAGTGCCCAACTGGATCAAACTGCCGCCATGTATGGAGATGTGCAATCGAGCAAATGTTGTTTTTCACGTAAGTGCTACGATCACGCTTCAAACTCCCGCTAGCTATCTCCTTAAGCTTGTTTGTCCGTACCGGGTGCCTCTACCAATTTCTATTTGAGTTGAAAATAAGTCGATAGAAGACGCTTAATAGAGCAAATTCCACTTTCACGAGAAGTTGAAAAAGTTTAGTGATTTCCTGTGTTGGAGATCAATTGAATATTGAGTGAAGCGCAACTGCTTCCGGTGCACGGGTTGCGGGGGAATCAACTTGAAATTGTGAAAATAATGACAGCATAAAAAGAGAATAGAAGAATGTAAAATGGATGTGCAAGGTGAAGAACGTGACGAGATAATGTTGATGTTTTTATGATGCTGTTTACTGAGTACTTCAGAAGTTCCGGTGGTTAGTGGAGGTGAATAATTTTCTTCTCGAGCGATCGTTGGACAATCGATTGTCAACGATATCCGAATGTCTCAAAATCTATTCGATAAATTATTTACATTACATTAAAAAAACAAATTGCTAAAATCGATAGATTCGTACGCGCAGATTTTAAAGGAGATTTAATAATTGTCAATTTTGGATGAATACAAATGCTTCCATTCGTAGATAAGAGTGAAAAAATTCACAATTGATAGGAAATATAAAATAATATTGGTGATCCGGAGGGGTGAATAACTGTTTTTGCGTCATACTTAAAAAAGTGCCTTTTGAAAAAAATTGAACATTTAAAAATCATCTTTCAACGGGTGTGAAAGGATGGAGCAAATCACAATCTCGCTGAGAAAAAAAATTTGTGAAAACCCATGACTAAAAATTACATTTCTGAACATGTTAAGACTACATTCAGTCATTCTAACACTCAAATTTTGACAAATACAAAAAAAAACTTTTAACTCATTTTGTACTATACACAAAGATGTTAACATCGCGATTTAACGCGAACCATCAATTTCACGATTTAACGCAAAGATCGCCGTAATTTCGAAACGGATCGTTCGATTGGTGATTTAGCCGTCTTACCTCCCTAAGACAAGTCTAAATCATTAAAGAAGAAATATTATCAGATATTATTGGTCTCAAAACGGCTGTCAAAAGGATAAAGCAAATTAAACTCTCCACTGGGAAGAAAAAAAAACAATGAAAATCCATAAATTCACAACCGCATAAAAATGTTCCGACTTTTCAAATGACATTTAATTACTCTACCACTCAAAGTTGAGCTCACACAATGCGCCCGAATAAAAGACTACAAAGTGAGCAAAAAAAGAAACCATTATGACACAACGTTGATATTTTTATGACGCAGTTTGCCGAGAGCCTCAGATGCTCCGGTAGTTAGTGGAGGTTCAATATTCTCATGGGGCACAAAATTCAAATACACCGGTAGAACAGAGCGTGAAGTGCTCGAGGAAACGGCTGCAGCAGCGTCGGCGGGCTCTGCGGAGGCGTCATCGTTGCGTGGCAAGGGAGACACACCGGTGCAACGGTGTCAGACAACAGGACTCAGGAGAAAAGCAAGTAGTGTACCGGCAACACCGAGTACACCCAGCCAAGATCTCATTGAAATTCGTAAGTGAATATTTTCTCTCATTATCCACAAGACTAATAACAATAAGAGATAGCGAGTAAAAGGAGAATACCCCCAGCTTCATTGTCATCCCACTCATAATCTTGACAATTTTTCTACTCAGTGTTTCCTTAGTCAAGGAGAATGGCTCTTGCACATGTTAAATTAATTACTCTTTTTTACCAAATTAAATAATAGATCTCCTCAGACAATTATAACACAAGATTATTTAGAGTTACTCACTACAATTAATTGGTTTGTTAGATACAAACGTGTTAGTTTGCATGAATGAATTGTTAATTAGGGAATATTTATCTAGGATATTCGAGCTTACCCCGAAGCTGTCATAGTGCGGGCCTTGACGGCGCTGGTATGTCTGAATCAGGCTCGACGGGCCCTGGTACCGGGGTACCACTGAGCTCACCCTACTGTCCCGACAATACATTACCACTTCTCGAGACTGTATCCGAGGACCAAGAAATTTTTGCCAAAAGGAACAATGGTTAGTTATTTTTATGACGTTACTCTTGTCTTTCGTTAGTTACTGGTTGTATATAGAGAGCACTCTTACTATAATCGTGTGCCTTCTCGTTCATTATGTGTTATGTACAATTTTCTACTTTTTACGGATTTTGTAATTTAGTGATTGTTTGTTGGGTGGTGAAGTGGGAGCATAGGATGTAGAGCGGTTTCATAACGAGAATTGTCAGGGGTTTTGGTGGTTTATGATCAACATCTTCGAATCTAGAAAATACCACAAATTTAGTGGAGATTTTCTTATAGAGTGAAATGAAAGCAAGTAAATGCAGTTATTTATTGAAAATTTGACCCGAAATTGCGTTGACATATCCTGTCTTGCCACTTCACTACTTCTGTCTGCGAAGGATGAAGGGTAAATACCGGTGAAAGGGGAGCGATATAAAGACCCGGAATACCTTCCGGTTCTGAATCCTAAATCTTCGGAAATAGTGAGTAAACGATGCTGTGAGCACCACTTTCCGTCGGAAACCTCCACAATTTGCTTTTAAATAAAACAAATTCTCCCTTCGTCATTCCATAAATTCCTGACATAACGGAGAGAATTCCCCCGATCGTCAAGAAATTTGTAGAAAATACCTTAATTTTAATGATAACATCACAGAGAGAAATGAAAGCAAAACAAATTCCGAGATATTTATGAAAAGTTTAGGCTCCAAAGGCTTCGAGTAAATCGATAAACAAGGAACAATAGAAACACCCGGAAAAATTTCCGGTTCTGAACGCTATGAAAGAAAAAACTTCCTTTTCTCCAGTTGCACTAAAGCAACAGACATTATCGTAAACTTGAAAACAAGATTAACTCTCGAGAAATAGCAAGGAAACGATTCCGATAGTAACACTTTCCGTCGGAAGCCTCCACAATTCGTTCCAAAATTCCAAAAATTCCCTTCATCATTCCCCAAATACGCCGGTAAAATCGCGAGAAGGGGATTCCCCCGATATCTTCAAAAAATTCGTAGAAAATACCTCAATTTTAATGAAGCAAAAAAATGCAGAGATATTTATCAAAAGTTCAACCCTACATTACAGTCTCCAAAGGCTGCGAGTAAATATCGATAAGAAAGGAACAATATAAAGCCCCGAAATTTCCGGTTCTGAACGCTACAAAAAAGCGATTTCCTTTTCTCCAGTTGCACTAAAGCAACAGACCTGCTCATAAACTCGAAGATGAGATTAAATCTCCAGAAATAGTGAGGAAAAGATTCAGATAGTACCACTTTCCGTCGGAAGCCTCCACAATTCGTTCCAAAATTCCAAAAACCGCCTTCATCATTCCCCAAATACTCCTCCCACAAAATCGCGAAGAGGGGATTCCCCCGATATCATCAAGAAATCCTGTATCTCTCTCCACGTCTCACTGCATTCAGTCTGCATCGGATAAACAACTTCCGGGGGTGATGGCTTCCCGCCCGCACTACATCCGGTAGACAATTTCCAATACTCTCCTCCACATGTCTCCACTCTGTGTGACAATACATTTTTCTCCACAACCGCCCAATTCGAAATCCACCGCATTGTCCAAAAATAAAGCATTAAAATTCGCTATCGAGTTTCTGGCGTGATCGAACCAACTTTCGACTTTCACTGCATCCCATGTCTCATTATGAAAAGAACATGTACAAGATTATTGATTTCAAGCCGGAAGCAATGGCAGTACAGCTGAGTCCCATGTAAATAAGAAAGAGCTTAAAGGAATGCGCCATAAACTTCACGATCCCGGGCAACAAAACCCGATCTACCACTCAATTCAATTGTTATGTTGTTCATGTCAACTGCGTGCTGTTATGCTTCTTGTTCGCTTCTTATACATATTATTTTCCCCCCCTCGTCCAAGACCCCCTATAATTTCCTTTATTTTCAATTTTTCCTTTATTTGATTTTTCTTTCTTTTAGCATTAGACGAAAATGAAAAAACGCATGCGAGTGCCCACCACACCACCACCACCTCAAATCAAATGAAAAAAGTGAAATTTCCAAAGAGCACGTACAGCCGCCCACAGCCCCTGTACAGTCAAAAAATAGTCATTGGATCGGACGAGTTGATAGGCCAAAGTATAGATAGTGTTATTCGGCAAAAGATTAATTCACTGGAGAAGAGTCCCAAAGTTGTGAGATCAACGGCATTGATAATAAAGACATCGAGAACCCCAGTGAAGCCCACGAGTAATGTGATAAAGCCAGTGAGCACTACACCCGAAATAAAAACCTACACAACGACAATCGGACAAGCGAGTGACACAAGAGTTGAATGCGCAAGCACTGTGCCAACACCAAAGTCCCCAGGACGACTTGTGCAGGTGCAGGTAAGCTCATTGGACGTGTGCGATGCACCAGAGGTGTCCAAGACTCCGGCGACAATGAAAAATGAATGCCAAGAGTTGAGTGTAAAGCCCACTGCGAATGGAAATGCAGCATCAGGAAGATCCTTAACTCGACCAATGGCATTTGCACTGGCAATGGCATCAGCCGCTGCTGCCGCTGTATCAACTAATGTGCGTGGAGCCACCACCACGATAATTGACGATAGCATCAACAAAAATGGACACGATACGACAGGTAAGAGTCACAGCTTGAAGAAAATGAACAAAACTTAATCACTACGAGGTAGGTTGCCCTATTTTCCAGCGTCTTACTTATGAATTCATTTGCGCTCAGACATCCCACTCCTCACCTCGCTTCCACTGCATTCAACGCTTTTTCTGGTATCATTTACTCTTCATTATCGTTTAACAAGAGCTTGCATGACTGCATTCCCCCCGTAGTGTTCCAGTACTCCTGAACAATTTTCAATTAATTCATCACTCCCCTTTGTGTTCACTCGGGTAAAAGGTAGAATTGTTGATGAGTGTATCGGTGAAAAAATGGCTATTGTGTAGCCGAGAGTGGAGGCTCGAATCTCGATTCGTTGATCCGAAATATTGTATTGATCGGTGAAACAATATGTTTCATAACACAATATGCTGGAATAACAAGTGAAGTGGAAGGAGTATTTATGTTTGTTGCGAGTGACTACTCATCATTCAAGTATTTATTTCTGGTCTTTTGTTCCCTTTTTTTTTGCAATCTGTTGCAGTGGGAGGACAGCCCGGTGACGGAGACACGAATGATTATTTCTTCAGGGATTCGTTCGATCATTCATCCTCCGAGAGCCAACTTGTCGATGGTATTGGAAAGTCACAGAGCAGATCTGTAACACCTGTTCCCAAAATGCAGAAACTACAGAATACGAAATTATGTCTCCAACCAGTTGGCAGTAGAACGATGATTGGTAGGGCTAAAACACTCAGGGGTATACGTATTGTACGTATGTTCGTGTCAGCATTTGTACTTACTGTCACCATGATGTTTATCGTTATTGTACTTGTGTTCGAGACAGAGTCGAGTGTATTTGACAGTTTACGTAAAACACCGGAAATGGTTGCATTCAAGAGCCAGTACTATGTGCCCATCAGGGAATTTCTGAGGACCAAACTTGGCCTATTCTGATTATCCGATTGGCCGATTACGAGACATTGTTTCATTGCTCGTAGTTGCTTATTCGAGGTGAATTTTGGGGGATGAGGCTCCGTTAGGAGAGGAGATTGACTTTTTTGAGAATGAGGGTTTCTATTTGAATTGACCAGGGAATTCCACTTATCTCCTTATTCCACTCAAGTACAAAATTACGATACTTTCGTAGTTTATTTTCGGCTTTTAAAGAGTTTTTTCGTGATAAGACGTTTGAAAAAATTTCATAGAGAAAACTTGCGCTCTGAGATATTCTATTGGATTTTTTGCGGAATTAGAGCGGAATAGAGTCCATCAGCTTTCTCCTTGAATCTTATTTAAAAAGATTATTTTCTCGAATTGGGTAGAATAAATGAAGTTTTTTTTTCAAAGTAAAAAATAATGTGGGGATCCTCTCGGATTGAGGGTCAGTTCCTCAGGCAAACTCGATATATTTCGATTCCAACAACTTTATGAAAGGGTGAAATTTCGGACATATGACTCTATAAGAATTCAGTAGCACAGATGTTGATTTTTCTATGTAACTTATGAATTTGCCAGGTTTTGCTACTCTAATTTTAGTATGAGAAACACATACCGTCAGTGAACCAATCATGGAACCCTGGAGGAACAAGGCCCAGTTATGGAACCGTATTGTTTTGAATAACTTACAAGTATTGTTGAGTGGATATTTTTGACTTCAGAAAAGGAATGTAGCCCATAGTTTCCATTTAACTTTGTTCATCACAGTAAATATATATGTTCACATGGGTTTTCGGCCACATGTAACGTTGATTCCATAACCGGGTTACTGATAAAACAAAATACCGACAAATTTCAACAGAAAAATCAAAATACATTAAATTTCTTCAATCAAAAAATGACACCGTAAAGTTGCATTATCTTCAGTTCCCCGGAATCGTCACAAAAATTCAATATAATTTCTCCGAGAAAATCTCGCCAAGTTTTTCTATCAAACTTTTTTCTACGTAAAAATTGAACAGTGCCAAGATGAAAGCCAAGGGGAGTCGCAGAAAATTGTTATTTCCGGGTAGACTTCCGAATTCCGGAAGCATATGGATTTTTTTTCTTCATTTTATTCGAGGCCTATCTCCAACGGATAGATTTTATTAGAAAAACAAAGTTGTAAGGCAGTCGTGCAAGAACTACTTCCTAAACAGTTGGTATTGAAAAAGCTGGCGAAGATACGAGGGATGCAACAAAAAGTATAAAACGAAAAATGTTATACCTAGACAGAGTCAAATATTTTATCATGAGAAGCGAGAGATATTGTACCTATGCGTCTATAGGTGTAACTGGTTAGATTCTAGGTGACAAAACAAACACAAAACAAAGCAAACGAAAGGTTGAAGTGACTCTTCTCCCGTTTCAACGAAAAAAATAAAGCAACTCATCTTGTTTTTTGGTGTAGTTAAATCTAGGTGAATAAAAAAAAATCTTGAGTGAGTGTGTGAGAGGGAGTAGAGGGAGAATAACAAGAATCATAATCTTTGTTGTGCTAAAAAAAAATTCGTGTCTTTGCTGTGCGAAAAAGTGTCGCAAGATCATGAGAGATAGGAGTCTCCATTAAAATTTTACACGCATAAGCGAAACAGAGCGAGAATTATTATACTTTCTGAGTTAAACGAGTCAACCCAATTCCGTACTCCGTGGAAATGATAAGGAGGGAATTAAATCTCTGAAGACGACAACGAGATGTCACAAAGTTTTGCAATCGAAATGGCTTAATTTATGCATAACACTTGGAATGAAGAATTCTCCCAATTGCTTTTGCTGATTTATAAATCAGAATGCAATATTCCTCATTTTTCCTCATAAACTTTTCTCACGACTTTGAGATCTTGCGACTGATCGGAATAGCCATGAATATTTCCTAAAAGTGCCTACGCTATTCTAGAATTTTTCGAGCGTCCCGCGTGTTCTTGGCTAAAAGTGCAATAAAAAATGACGATTATCCGTTGTTAATTTAATCTTCAATGAGTCGAACTGATACTGAAAGAGAGAAAAAAAAATACCTTGACAATGAGACGAGAGTGTTTTAAATTTTTTGCATTAATGCATGATCTAGCGATGCATCCATTATAAAGTACTTGGAAATATAATTTTAAATCGCGTAGGAATTTCCGCAAGTGTTCCTGCCCAAATGCTGTCGAATGGAGAATCAATATAAATTGTATAAAATAAAACGGATGTCAATTGCAATATTATCTAATCTGTTTGAGCGAGAATTGAGAGTTGTGTGTGCTTAAATGTGAATTTAGAGAGATAAATTGATAAATTGAATAGTGACTATCGCTGTGAGACGATTAACTAATCTCAACTATCCTTAGGTTTTCAAATTCATTGTATATTGTAATTACGGGTGTTTAGAAGGGATTGTGTTGACCCCAGATTAGTTGATCATTGTTATTTATTACTTTAAGGGGATTCTACGAATGAGGAAAAACCGAATATCAAATTTTCATGATCAATTGAATTAGAAATATGAGAAATTGGGCCATATTAGTTACACGGAATTTGGACATTGTAAAATGTTCATTTCTCCATTCCCTGGCATGCACATCAGAATTTCATAGAAAAATGATTTCTATTAGTTTGTTGTCGATTTTATAGAAAAATTCCGCAGCTTACTTGTACGTTTAAAAAAAATTAAGATGTTCAATGGAGAAAATTTTGTAGAAAAAATCAATAGAATTATTCTATTGAGATATTCTTCATAGAAATTCTTCGGCTTAAATTTTCCAAGTTTTTTTGTTTCATTTTTTTTACAGAAAAGAGAAGAAAAATTGAGGGGAAAAAATTTGAAAAATTTATGTCGAGGAATTCCTGCAGGATATTTTTCAACAGAAAAAGTTGTATAAAAAAATAAAATGCTACTGATGTTTTTAATAAAATCTTTCGTAAAGCTGCACAATCCTTTGATGGAATTTTCGATCGAATTCGCCAAACTTTTCTATGAAATTATTTCGTGCATGGGAGAACGATAATTCAAGGGAAAGGGGATGCCCTTTAAGAATTGGGACTAAAATGTGCTTTTAGGGAATTTAAGCGAAAAATATGTCGTGATAAAAAATCATTTGTAGAAGAATCATGGTGAATGTTCATTTTTACTATTCATTTCTCCAGTGACATGTTTTACGGAGTGAGAAGAGAAGGAATAACAAAAAGTGACAGGAATTGTGTGTAATACCTGTATGTGCAAGAGAGTGAGAGCCTTCCTAGTGCTAATAAAGATGATAAAAAAAAATACAATTGTAGATGAAGTGAAAGGATTTTTTCCGAATCTAGGTTGATAAATGCTTTTAGCTTACATATCACATAATTAGTCAATGGTAATGAATCCTCGTTTTCAATTGATGGATATTGTTTTTAAGTATTGAGCGGGACTAAACATCACGCCATGACAATGATAATTGACATACAATCATTAATCTCCGCGCAATCGATGCGCCAAGTATTTCTTAACGATTGTTTTATAATTTATTTTCGAAAAAAAAAACATTGAATGCACCTATTGTCTCTGCAGAATACAGTTTTGTTCTTTGATGATATTAAACAGTCTGGTGGGAGAAAGTAGTCAGTAATGTTCAATTGAAGAGGGATTTAACCCCAGTCTGGTCCCCGTACGCGATTCTGCGAGTTTGGACGTCTCCGCGGGGATTCCCCGCCCGGTTATTAGGCTCCACCGCTGCCGAATTCACTCTACACTGCCCGCGCGCGTTTAGCGAGGTTCCGGCAACGTCGCGTAACGGCAATTCCATTTTTGTCATTCCGGCTGTAAGGCAGCGATTCATGGACGTGTAGCGTTAAAAAATTTTGTTCGTCACACGGCCTAAAAAACTTTTCTAGCTAATATGATTGAACTCATATTCACCAGAAACGTTTTTTTCGGCCTAATGAAATATACTATTAAAGTATATCCCAAGACAATACCAACCAAAAGTCCCTGCGAATTTCCGGAAAAATTCTAAATGAATTAATTTATTGCATTCTCATAAGTTACGGAGTTTTTCAATCCTCATATGTTTGAATTAAATAAGAAATTATTTGTTAATTAATTGTTTGAATCAAGTAAGAAATGATTTCACGAAATTTCATTTTTTTAGAATTGAATATCACAGAAACAGTGTAATATAAAATTTTCCAAAAAAATCACCCCATTCGGAATTTATCGAATCTACCACGGATGCATTTTTTAAGAATACAAAATTGATTTCGGGGGGACCCGTAACCCCCGTTTGGCCTGTGCCTCGCGTGCTAGAAGCCCGCTATTAATTATTTATTATTTCCTAAAGTGTATAGTACACCTAGTCGATTTTTTTTTAGTAGCTGGGGAATATTACAAACATTAACCATGAAAATACGGGGACAATCGTAAGAAAAACCTGTTTTCTAGGGATATACCTTAATATAGGTGGAAAAATAATTCATCTGTCAGAAATAGTCGGTTCTCTTTAAGAATTTCGAAAATTCTGTTATTCTAAAAACTACTATCATTTTTTAAATACTTCAACTGAAAAATTGAAATTTGTTCCAATTTTGTCGGTTAGCCAGTCAATGATAATTAAAGAATAACGATGCGCGGCGTTTCCCTCATACGGTGACCAGACTAGGGTCAATTAGTTCCAAGGTCTGTAATCAAAAGAAACTAATGAGATAATCTTTGTATTGCTCTCAAACTTTTGTACGCTTATTCTAGGGATCTAGTCGTCTTATTGATTATAAACGAATTGCTAGGATTAAATTTAAACGATTAGGGGCTCGCACTTGCTGGGTAAATCTTCAAGTGCTGATATTTATTTTATTTATTGGAAATTATGACAGATTTATCAAACGTAATTGTCATTTGATGAAAATGGAAGAACGATTTCATCAGGTTTGTTTTATAAATTGAATGAGTACTTCAAATATTTTGCTAATTCAATGCAATTATTCTTGCCAAAGCACAGGGAATTACCCAGTGAGTCTGAAGCGACGAGAGACTTAGCAGATGAAAAAAAATTGAATAAAAGAAAATGAAAAAGCCGAAATTGAAAAACCTAAAGTGAACTAAAAAGAAAAAGCGAAAGAATGAGAGAATTGCGATATCAGAGGATGATCTCTTCAAGTTGTTACAATAAATCACCTAATAATTCCTCAAACACTCAATAATACTACCAAAAATCAAAGAGATCACCTTGTAAAGATCATCTCTGCACGATCGAAATAAATTTGCACTTTTTCAAAAACTCAATTGCCGTTTTATCCATTATTCATTTATTCGCTGAACGAATAATCCCTGAGTTTATGAGAAATTTCATTTTGCCTGACGACAAATTGTAAATAAAAAAAAATTATAAACAAAATTCAAATCAAAGAAAGTAAATATGTGCGGCACGAATGATCACTGTAAATTGAATTCAATTATTTGAAATGGGAGATAAAGCAAAAAAATATCCGATCGTAACGGAGGAGTTAATAAAAATCACTCGTGTCTGTATTTATTCCACATTTCACCAGTCATTTCTTTTTCCAATAATGCTTTTCTAAACACAGCCGAAGGAGCATTTGACAGTTACGTCAGCTTTTTCCGTAATGCCTTACAGAATTACCCCTCTCCCCAAGAATTTATCTAAAAAATGAAATTGGAAAATAATTACAGAATTGAATCTGAATTTTCGATGAAATAGAGTAATTTTTTTGTACGAAAAGTACAATGCTTCCCTTTGTGATGGGCCTGAGGCGAGTTAAATCGATGAATGCGTTTTTCACTTATAACTAAAACTATGGAAAAAGTCAAAAGTTCTCATTGTGCCCCACCCTCCCCTTCGTCAATATCCTTTTCGATCGAAAATATACTTTCCCTTTTTATAATTATTACTCTAGACTTGATAAACTCTTTCCATGGATTTTGTTTATGAGTTATTAAATTTATTTACTTTTTTAGATTTATTAATTTGTATAATGCATTAACAAATCTCTTCCACGGATTTATTAATAAACAGGGATTCGTTATACAAATTAATTAGTTAAGTGCCCGTTTTCGACTTTACGCTACCATTTCTCATCGTGATTATCAACGCTTCCTCTCACTCAACCGCAATCCTATACGATTCTTCATTCAATTTGACTCGATGAATGCCCCATAACACTCCTATCATAGAAGAATCAGAATAAAAGGAATTTTCAATGTCTTTATTCGATTCTTTTATTGAATTTGACTCCAAAAATGCCCCATACCACTCCCACCACAGGGGAATCAGAATAAAAGGAATATTCCAGATCATTCCTGTTGTGTGAGAGACATAAAAAGATTCATCGTCCGCCCGATTTGAAAAACAAATGAGAAATCAAATCACAACTCTGACATCATGACCTGCGCAATCCCTCCAAGAAATACTCATAACATTCAAGGCTGCTCCTCTCCCCGCACTCGTGTGACGAGATCGTCGAATGCTCCCAGTAGATGAAACTGCGAATCAATGATAATTAAAATTACCATCACTCACTCCTTCGCCACAGAAATTTCTGCAGAAGAGAATGACCCGAAAATTCACTCCCAATCCCTGTCCTCAATGAATTGCACAGAGAAAAATATTCAATCTAAATTACGTATCTTTTCCGTAATTCCGGAGCGAAATGTGGTTGTGGGAAATTTTACGAAACTGTCACGGAATTCTTCCGTAGCGTTCCGTAATTTTGATCGGAATCTCCTGTGAATAATTACGATACCGTCACTCAAATTTTCTGTATTGATAGCGTAGACGGAGAGAAATGTTCAGTAAAAATTACGGAACTCACAGTTCGCTCACCGATTATGAAATCAATTCGTAAGTAATTTAAGTGACGGTATCGTAATTTTTCACAGACGATTCAGATAAAAATTACGGAACGCTCTCGAAAAATTCCGTGACGGTTCCGTAAAATTTCCTACAATCATATTTTCCTCCGGAATTACGGAGAAGATACGTAATTTTTATTGAATATTTCTCTCCGCGTAGGAATTCCCGCGAATGATGCACCCACACTGATAGAAAAGGTAGAACGATTCAGTTGCACCAAACGAGGCTTTTAACTGTTATTATTATTATTATTATTATTATTATTATTATTATTATTATTATTATTATTATTAAAGCTTTTTATTTATGTCCTGGGGTTTAATGAGGACCCCCTAAGGACAACCCAAGTAAATTACATGATCAATAATCCATAAAGAAAGAGAATATGATAGGATTTAGAGAACGAGATATGGATAAATCACCCAGAGGATATACCCAGATAAAATAATACATTATCATTGTCATCTAGTCACTCGATTTTTATAAAATTATATGCTATCTGCCATACCGCGATTCGTTAACGAATCGTGGTAATAGTTAAGTCTCGTTTGGTTCGACTAAACCGTTCTACCAGTGCAGGGAACAATTTTTACGGATGGCATGTAAAAATCCTCGGCAAGACCGGTAAATTGTTAGTCGGGTGCCAAGAACAAAAATCCGCAACAAAGAACGCAAGAAGATTCTTCTTCTTCTTCTTCTCCATCAACAACTGGATAGCGACGAAGTGCAAGCACATTAATTGCCCCCAAAGCTCCCCAACATGACTTGATTACCCTGCGTCGCAAGCCGCCGAGAGGAGTCTTTGATCTTCGCCAGTGCTGTTTACTCGGAAAGACACCATTAAAAACTTCCGCAGCAGCTGTGGTGTTGGCTCTCAACTCAATCGATTAAACATTCTCCCTCCCTTCATCGCAAGGAAAACAATAAAATGGAAATGAAATAATCAACTGGGAAATCACGCGAATGGACCACCTGATATTCACAACTGAATTGGGTCAAATTGCCTTCAATCTCCGCGCGATCGATATCCCTGTTTCTTAACGATTATTTTGTCGTTCGTTTTTGAAAAAACGTTGAATGCATTCAGGACGGACTTAATTAGTTTCAAGGTCTGTAATGAAAAGAAAATACTGAGGTAATCTTTGTATTACTCTCGAACTTTTTTACGCTTATTCTAGGGATTTAGTCATCTCAGTGATGATTAATAAATTAGTAGCGTGAAAATGTAAGTGATTGACGGATCGCAATCACTGAGTGCTCAATAATTTCTAATAAAATGAAAATTAAATAATGAACTGGGAAATCACAGCGACAATAGACCAAATAGTACTCGAAGATTATTTTACAATTCATTTTTGAAAAAAACATTGAATGTTACTATTGTCTCTACAGAATATAGTTTTAATCTTTGATGATAATACCGTCTGGTGGAAGAAAATAGACAGTCAAATTCAATCGAAGAGGGATTTAATTAGTTTCAAGATCTGTAATTGAAAGAAAATAATGAAGTAATCCTTGTATTGCTCTCCAACTTTTTGACGCTTATCCTGGAGATTTAGTCGTCTTATTTATTATGAATAAACTGACAGGATGAAAATTTAATTGATTGGGTTACTCTCAGTATTTTCCCGTAAAATGAAAACTAAATAAACTAAATGAACTAAATCTAGTGACTGTGTAACGAGAAATTTTCTATTTTTGAAATTGTCTCATTCAATTTTGAACGATTTAATAGCAGTTGTACTTGAAATGAAAAAAATAAATGAATAAAATTAAATTATTATTTATTATCCACTGATAATAAATAACTATTAATTGAACTGGGAAATCGCAGCGACGATGGACCAAATATTTTTTAAAGATTATTTTACAACTCATAATTTTTGAAAAATACATTGAATGCACCTATTGTCTCTCCAGAATATTAGTTTTGTTCCTTGACAGTAATAACCAGTCTGGTGAGAGAAAATAGACAGTAATGTCCAATTGAAGAGGGATTTAATTAGTTTCACGATCTGTAATCAAAGAAAATAGCGAGACAATCTTTGTATTGCTCTCGAAATTTTCTACGTTTATTCTAGGGATCTAGACGTCTTATTGATTATAAATAAATTGTCAGGATAAAAATTCAATTGATTGCGAGCAATCTCACTGTCAGTAAATTTCAATAAAATGAAAACTAAATAGCTGGCAAATCACTGCGACAAAGGACCACCTGCCATTGCACCTGAATTAGGTCAAAGTACCACCAATCCCTTGGGTTCATCGACCCCCGGTACCACCTGGAGGCCCGCGAAAATCGATGGAGGTAGATTCACCCCACCAATTCCCAAACATTCCCATCAAATCCATCGAGGCATTTCATCAAGTCAAGTCCCTTGCACAATAATCTCCCACAGTGTGTCGTCATCCTCATCCTCGCGATGAGAAATGTCCCTCAATTCCACTTGAAATGTGGGCGCTCGCGGTCGCGCCCGCGTGTCCGTACCGAATGTGAATGAGTGGATAAAAATTGAAAAAAGAGGGAAATAGAAATAACACGTTTTCTCGTGGGGGCTGGCACTACTGCCACACGGCCAGTGGCACTTGGTCCCTCACGATCAGTCGGTGGCGCGGCACGACGCTAGCTACAACTCTCTGAAAATCTCTGACTCATTCGTTTATCCATGTGAGACGCATCACGTCATACGAATTACTCACGACACCGGGAGACACTTCAGTCGGATTGATACCGTCTCCGGACACTCCTCGCGTATTCCGTCAATTCGTAGCGCGATGTTACCACGGGGTTTTCAGGGGACGCCGTATTGATTTTGAAACCACGTGAAGTTTTTAGTGATAAAGTTTATAGTTCTTGTGCGGAGTTGTTTCCGAGTTTCTACAATGGTAAGTTTTTGTGTCATACCTGCGACCGGCGCAGTTCGCACTTTTCCGTAACTGGAAGAAACTATTTTCTATTTTCGAAGGTGGCTCATTCAATTTTCAACGATTAAACAGCAGCTGGTGTTTCAATTTCTTTATTTTCCGTTGTTGGTGACTTTAACGAGATATCAAGTATTAATAGGTGTTGGGCGTTGATTAAGTTTGGGGACAAAAATGAAAATTAAATGAATGGAATTGACTCATATTTGTTTATGATTTTTCTGTGGAGTAATTGGCATTTTTCCGTAATTGGAAGAAACTGTTTTCTATTTTCGAAGTTGGCTCATTCAATTTTCAAAGATTAAATAGCAGTCGTTGTTGGAATGAAAAATATAAGTGAATGAAATTAAATCATTATTTATTATCTATTGATTATTTTAGCACTCAATTTTCAACAATTGAACAGCAGTTTTCGTTTAAATGTTTTTATTTCCAACTGTTGTGTCCGACTGTTGTGTCGTGAGTAGCGAGCAAGTAAGTATTGATAATGTAAAGTATTAATGGCAGGAAAAACATAGAACCCCTCAGGGCAATCCCCTTAATCATCCAACAATTAAAAAAAAATTCTCAGAATAACCGTTTTGTTGTGCTTCACTTTTCATGACTTTTATCAGTATCATTATAGTCTCATTTTATTCATCCAACATTCATATAATCCACATTACCCATTTTGCCTATTCACCATTTTATCGCTTCGTTTTTTATTCATTCCCTTGTGTACTCCTCGTTTATTTATTTATTTATTCATTCATTCCCTTACAAAGCTGCGAGACCAAAGCGAAAATCATGAATGAACGAATGAAATCACCACTAGTTACAAATAATTATTCCAACTTTCACATAACACGACTCTGATTTTTCCCGCCTGCAGTTTTTCGGTGTGACTACCTGTTATTTTAATAACTCTTAAAAATTGCAGTGGTCTAGATAATTAAACCGGTCCCCTTCGTGTCCCCATGCTCTCCGTGTGGTTCGGATAATAGTAGAAAACGTTAACTGCTCTGTTGTGAGGTGAGATAGTTTTTGAGAATCTCGTCGCGTGACTCTCGCTCTTGTCCGTCCCAAGGATGAAAAAATAGAGGATCGATCCACCTTGGGTGCCTCTGAATCGGCTCAACTCCGTGTATTTTCACCCATTTGTGATCCTATTCAATGAGCCCTGGTACACTGATAGAAAGGATTAGCTATTGTTAACAAATGGATTTGGCTGAAGGTTACACTGAGAACAATTTCAATGGTAATTTTAACAACAAGGGAATTGTCAAAGAAATTATATTTACAGTAACAATAAACTTTGTAGATTAAACTAGGATTCATCGTTCGATTTACTACGTCAAATAGAGTCATCCACATTATGATGGAATGTTCACTTTAATGCACGCACGAAAAAATTTAATAGAAAAACCTATCGAATTCGTTAGAAAATTCTATTGAATTTCTTAATAGAAAGTTTAATAACTTTCTGTTAGTTTTTGGCTGATTCTATTGACATGTTCAATAGAAAACATTCAATAGAAAAAGTCAACAGAATTTGATTTTTCCATATAACTTATTCTTTTCATATATTTTCTGTAGAATTTGCTCGACTCAAATTTTCTAAGTTTTCTCCATTCTATTTTTCTTTTCTTCTCATAAAGAAAATCAAACGAAAAAACTTGGAAAATTTGAGCCGAGGAAATTCTAGACTTTTTCTACTGAATATTTTCTATTGAACATTTCAATAGAATCGGCCAAAAACCAATAGAACAGTTCAATAGAAATTCAATAGAATTTTCTAACGAATTCGATAGGTTCTATTAAATTTTTCGTCCGTGTGTAATAGTTGAATCTACAATGTTTATTGTTACCGTAACTATTATTTTTTTGACAATTCCCTTGTAATTGAAATTACCATTAAAATTTCTCTCAGTGTAGGGTTTATTCGGTTTCACCAAATGTTCATTCATTAATAGTTAACGAATCTCGTTTGGAATAAATGGATCTTTCTATCAGTGTACTACCCTGATAGAAGAGATTAATTATTGTTAACAAATGGATTTGGCTGAAGCCTAGAGTCTATTCGGCTCCAAATGTTCATTTGTTAACAATTAACAAATGCATATTTGAGAAGCCTTATTCAACTTGACTTTCACCTTTCAAGTGAACAATTCAGTAGCGAAGTGGCCAAACGGTTTAAGTCGACTTAACTCTTATCTGAGTTTTCGAGGAATATCTCCAAATCTAAGGAAGATAGCGAAATTTTCGCCAATATCTTTTTTGAAACTCTCAATGTCCTCTACCGAAAAGGTCATAACAGAAATTTTGCTATCTGCCTTAGATTACGAGATATTCATTGAAAACTCACGAATAGTCAAAATCGACTTAAACCGTTGAACCACTTCGCTACTGAATTCGTTGACTATTAACGAATATTTATTTGGTTATACTCAACTGTACCATTCGTGAATAGTTATTTTAATAGTTTTCAATACCAGAATAAATGAACCATTCTATCAGAGTACGCAGATATCCACAAATTGAAGTGTATCGTGTCTGATAAGATATGACGAATCACTGAATATACACCAGGTATCGTTGTTTTGTTTACTGTAAATTTCTGTTTCTCGGGCAATTGTAGATGTTGAGTGGATTGTAGACAGCATGAAGCCCTGGAAGAGGCAACTGGGGCTCACCGACGCGAAACGAATGACAATTTTCGTCCCTCAGTGTACATAGAAGAAAAAACCTCATTATGGGAATAAGTTTTTACTCGGAAACTCTCCTCCAATCGTAGAAACTTGGAAAATTACCTCCCAATTAAAATTTATTCTGCACAAAGAGATTGAAGTTTGCAATGCCAACTTCAGCCTTCGGAATAACTTCACGTACTAATTTCATTTATTTCTGAAGTTATAATATCCATGAATAATTTAATTATTCGTATTGTACGGCCACGCGTATTGATGAGCCCCTCTGTGGCCCACATTATTAATACGCTGTCCGCAGTGATTGGATTATACGATTTTGGTATCGTGAATGACGCGAGAATACTAGTCAGCAAATAATGAACAACGTCTACCCGGAAAAGAGGCGAAAAATTGTCGTGATTCATCGGAAAAGTAAATGTACAGCATTTAAAGGGAATCCTGGATAATTAACGTTTGTTCATTCATTCTCGTATTCGTGATGTTGATTATAAGATGTAACGATCTCTGAGACTTTAAAAATATTAAATTTAAAATTGTTTGCATTAATATTTGCAGAATTACTTTTTTTCATATTTATTTAAGCTTTCTTGAGGCTTATACAGCTGAAAAAAATACAGTGAAGTGAGTGAAAAATAAATATTTTCCCAAATAAGTCTTCTCTTTGACCCGAAAAAATCGCAAGTTAAAAATTATTTTAAAATTAAATATGAGAAAATCTCGTGCTGACTGTTCGAAAACTGTTCTAAGATGAAAAATTTGTGTCGCAAAAATAGATTTAGGTGTTCCAAAAACGTTTTTTTCTGTTCAAGCAAGAAATTTCATTTTTAGAACTATTTATTCGTTATTCTACGGTCGTTTTAAGTGAAATAAGGGCCAGTAGTACCTTGTTTCGGTTATGCAATCACCCAGATAAGAAATTAATGTTTAAATAAAATAACAGTGATGTTATGATAGCAATATTGTTACTCAAGGGCCAAATCCACCTTAATAAATTAGCCCTTATGAAAGATATTTCGATGCTATTGAGTGCAGAAAGCTTATTCATGCTTGAGCCTTTCAAATTTAACTCAAAAACCACTTTTCGGTCCAAACAAGACTTGTTCGAGAACCTGCTCCCTTTTATCTCTGTGTATGTGCATATAAAGTACGATTTTACAGAAGATTTGTTCTCAATGCATGTCCCATTTTTCTTCTACGTTTATTTAGAACTCTTTTTCGAGTTCTTCAACAATTCCTCAATTTCTTGTAAAGAATGTCCTAGAGTTTAAACACCGCAGAGCACGGATTCTCTGTATTGTTCACAAAGCATGAATTCCTGGATAATTATTTACTCAACACTCGACAAATTTCCCTAAATATCTGGAATTTCTCAACGAAAGGAAGAGCGTAGCCTCGATCCTATCAAGAAAGTGCCGACCTTAATCTCAAATGAATCACCCATGGAAATCCATTCTTCCTTCACTCGTCCCCTGCAAGGTTGAATCCCCACGTTAAGCCAAATAAAGTCACCGGCGTCCCTGGATTTTCTGACAATGGAATACATGTACATAAGCAATTTCTCGTTTCAAAACATTTATGTACCGTTACACACCGGCGAATAGCCCACTATCGTCTACAGCCGACGAACGAAACCGTAAACGGAAGTATCTCTCTCTCTCTTCTTCGCTTTTCCTCTCTCTCTTTTTTTTACCGCTGATACAAACAATAAGATTTGACATCAGCGCGTGTGTGAATCGTCGAATGCACATTTACAAAGGGAACAAAAAATTACTGGACTCGTCCCGAGGCATTTACATGGAGCGGAAGCACTTGCTAGACGGACGCGACACTCCCATTCCCGTTTAAATTAGAGCTGAGGTCAAATTACAGATGGCAACTGAGATTTGACGGTTTGTAGCTGTAACAATGCTGCAGGGGAAATTCCACAGGAGTGAAATGGCTTTTTACACTGATACAGGAATGCATTTGTTGTGAATGCGGGCTTGTTGCTGGATATATTTGTCGATTCAATCGTCACGAGGTGGATTCATTAATTGTTGACGCACAATCTGGTTAATATCGGTCTTTGGTCGCGTCAATTAATTATTTGTTGAATTTTAATGAATGAATTTGTGCCTCAACTTTCTCTTGTCAACAAAAATGTTTTATATTTAATTTGATAGAAGTTAAAGGCTTTGTTGAGAGCAAATAAATTTTTTGTCGTCTCAGAATCATTATCGGTGGTAGGAACAGACCTCTTGGTTTCGTCAATTAATGATTTGTTAAATATTAGTAAATGAATTTGTGCCTTAACTCTCTCTTGTCAACAAAAATGTTTTATATTTAATTTGATAGAAGTTGAAGGCTTTGTTGAGAGTAAATAAATTTTTTATCGATTCAGAATCCTTATCAGAGATAGGCACAGACCTCTTGGGTTCGCCAATTAATGATTTGTTAAATTTTAATAAATTAATTTGTGCCTAAACTCTCTCTTGTCAACAAAATTTTTTTCTATTTAATTTGATAAAAGTTAAAGACTTTATTGAGAGCAAATAAATTTTCTATCAGTTCAGAATCATTATCAGTGGTAGGGACACACCTCTTGGTTTCGCCAATTAATGATTTGTTAAATTTTAATAAATTAATTTGTGTCTCAACTCTCTCTTGTCAACAAAACTTTTTTCCATTTAATTTGCTGAGAGTTGATAACTTTTGCTGAGGATAAATAAATTCTTCTATCAGTTCAGATGTACTATCATTTTTCATATCATCATATTTGGTTTCAATTTGCGATGATAGCAACATTCTCTTGGAGACTTTGTTGCAGATCTCATTTCGCTCTACAAAAGTAATCTATGAGAACTCCACGATTTCCTGTTGACTCGGAAAACTGTTTGTTTATTCATCAAAAACTCTAAGAACAAACTGAAAACCTTCTCGTACGAAATATCTTTTTGTAAATTTCACTTAAAAACCCAAGGTTTTATGAATTTCCCACAAGTCCCCATTTAATTTCCACAATATCCCATAGTTTCGATAAGACATGCATCGAAAACTCCCGTGGATAAAGAGAATCAATGACTCGGCGTAATAAACCGCCAAAACAGCGAGCATTCGATGTATATCTCTGAAACCGAAGGAGATAAGGTAATTTCCGTGCAGACGCGTTTGTAGCGCTCACTTTCCTCTGCAAATAACTCCTTATGAAGATTCCGCTATCTCAAAAACTGATGTGAAAAAAATTAATGACTCACCCCAATGAATCATCGACCCAATAAGTTAAATAAATACCTCCGACCTCAAGAAAAATAGAGAACTTTTCATAAAAATCGTTCATAACTCATTCTTAATTTTTCAAAAATTTTCATTTTCAAAAATTAAGATTGTATTTCTACTCCAAAATTCCCTGAATCCACATTTTCGCAAATATAACAGAGAAAATTACCATCTCCCATTAATTCCACGAGAACATATACAAAAACTAAAGTGAGACGAGAATTAGTCACTTCGTTTCACCGACCCACCACTAATAATTCAAACTCGTAACAACTTGGCTTTACAACTTCCATCATTAGGTGCAGCATCACTGGCAAAGTCAAAATGTCAAAGTGTCGGGAGTCGACGACATGGTCCTCCTCCCAAAGATCACGGAGGAAGCAATTATGGAGAATCTCCGGAAGCGCTATATGGACGACTACATATTCGTATCCTTTGATCATAAAAGTTTATAGGATTCAAAGCCCCCTCGTTCCTTCATTTAACCATAGGAAATTGAGAGGATGAGAATTTCTCACGCTCAAGTCTTCATCTCAGGTGCATTAACTGAAAGTCTAGTGACCCCTGGGGGCCATTGTACGCCTGCTAGATGCAGCACATTACGTAAAACCCATTGAGCGGTTGCATAATGATTTAATGAACCTGAGATACTATTTTCCTCAATGCAACTTTTGTATTCACACGTAGACGTGCATTGGGCCTGTTTTGGTCTCGATAAATCCGTTCAAACAGATGCCCTATTTTGGGGAGAAGGAGGTGCAGATATACCAGGGAGCGGTGAGTAATTAAGTTTCACTCGCGCAATAATTAGCCGGGAAATATCGTGAAATAATCGTTGTGCATTCTTTCTGGATCGTTAAGGCTCCGTACGAAAATCCACCTCACATCTATGGTCTTGCGGACGACATGTACCGCAATATGCTGATAGACGTGGAGAGCCAGTGCGTCATAATAAGGTTCGTCATCCGCGTGTTTTTGAAATGCACTCTTTGTCCCCGCAATTATTTTTCTATTCGCTTTTTTTCCGCTCGTTCTGTTCTGATTCATCTCCGCTACGATGAAACAGCGGCGAGTCAGGCGCCGGCAAGACGGTTGCAGCCAAGTACATAATGGCTTATGTATCGAGGGTAAGCGGTGGTGGCGAACGCGTACAGAGAGTCAAGGACATTATCCTGGAGTCCAACCCACTGCTTGAGGCCTTTGGCAATGCTAAGACCATCAGGAATAATAATAGCAGTCGATTTGTGAGTTTATGAATGGGTTTAGGGGCGCGAGAGTGGGTCAGTGTGGTGAACCACTGAAGTAATCATAGTTTTTTTAAATGAATTTCTGAATGTAGAAGTCCAACATTTGTATTGGGATTGCAGAGCTTCTTTACAGAATATTTTCAAATTGAAATGTTAGAAAAAATTGTCATTTTGTCTGTAGTTTAGGAGGAATTTAAAGAAGAACATTGAAATTTCAAATTTCATTGAAAATATAGTGCGATTCCAAATTTTAGAACAGCAGGAAGACGAGAATTTCCGAAATTGGCCTAAATTTTTGATGAATTGAGAATTCAAAGTTATTTTTGTCTAAATTTTTCGGATTTCTAGCAATTTTCATGGGATAATTGAACTGAAATTTACAGTATCTATTGATTTTTTCATACAATTACGAATTTTTTAATGAAAAAACTCCTTGGAATTTCCGTGAAAGTGTCACTTCATAAAAATTTCGAAGAAGTCTGTCGGAAATTTCGTAAAATACTTGTAAAATTGTCATTCCAAATTTTCATCGTAAAAATCACTTCTTCGAAATAATAACAAATTTGTCTACATTGAGGAATTCATTACAAATCGACTCCAAATGTAGTTGAAAAAATTTCCATGATTTATTTATGAGATTCACATGTTTGCATGTTTACAATTACGATTATTTCACCCACTTATCCATTTCACCAGTGAATTCACAGATTCTTAAAAAAAATCTATTTACTGCTCAAGGGGAAATACGTAGAGATGCAGTTTGGTGATGGCGGACAGCCCATTGGCGGTAAAATCACAAACTTCCTCTTGGAAAAATCTCGAGTGGTTAGGCACAACACTGGCGAAAGAAGCTTCCACATTTTTTATCAGCTGGCATCTGGCGCAAATGAGCAGATGAAATGTAAGTAGGGGGCCCCGCCATCAGGGTCATTCTCCCCTGACGACACGTGCTGCGATTCTCTTTTAATTTACAACGAACTAAAAAAAATACTCTCGTCCTGGATTTCTTCGTATTTTCCTCTGGCGGTAGAAATTCCATGGAAAAAATCAATTATCCGGGGAAACACGAGTTAATTGAATAGGATATACGCATGATTGAATGCCATGAGAAATTTTCAATCCTAAAGACCTGCAGATAAATCTTTAATGGTCTGTTACCTCTACTTTTCATGAAGGAAAGTGAATTTGTTTGCTCTAGGATTTCGATGAAAAATCTTTTTCGGTCTTCAATTAATCATGAATCATACACTGTTAGAAATTTTTTTAAATTTCATGGAAAATGACAGTAATTCTCCTGAAAGTGACATTGAGTCGGCTAGAATTCAAGGAAATTCATGAATTTTCAGTGCGAGTGAGATCAAATTTCACAACTTGATTGAATTTTCAATGAAATATGAATATTCAGAAACAGAATGACATAAATTTTCAATTTTTCCCCGATTTTTATGAATTTTCACGCAATAATTTAACTAAAAATTCAAGTATTTTATTGATTTTCAGATCATTCGAACAGAAAATCAACGGAACATTTGATTTTTCAAATACAATATTTCCTGAAGTTTCAGGGGAAATTAAACACTATAAAAATTCGGCACGCAAAATTCAGACGAAAATTTTTAACAGTGTAAACTACTTGAGACGAATATTTTGGTCTTATCTTTTCATTTTCGTTATCAGCGGAGTTGGGATTGAGACAAGAACTCGATAACTGCGATTACCTGATGAATTGGGACGGCACTGCCCTCCGGCAAGCTGATCGTGTAGGTGGATCTGATGCCAAAGAATTTCAAGAGACCTTGAAAGGTAAATAATCCCACCACGAGTGAACACCGAAATCTTATCAACCTTCAGGATAACTAATTGATACATTCCCATATCTATGAATCACTCCGCGTCCCCATGCCCTCAATACCGAAACAAAGGATCAAACAAACAATTATATTGCAGCCTTGAGTGTCATGGGAATCGTAGAAACCGAGGTATCAAACCTCCTGAGGATAGTCTCCGGTATCCTCCACATAGGAAGCATTAAATTCCGGGAGAACGGAAATTACTCCCAAATTGCCGATGGAAGAGGCAGGTATTCCCCTGTAAATTACATTTAACGAAGTAAATAACACATGTCTATCCTCTTTTTACTCCAGCACTTGAATTCCCGTCGTATCTACTCGGCATTTCTGCGGATCGTCTCTCCCATAAATTGACATCAAGGGAATTCGAGTCCAAATGGGGCAGTCAGTCGGAGAGTGTTGATGTAACACTCAATGTACCACAGGCACTTTACACACGTGATGCACTGGCCAAAGATATTTATGCCAGGCTGTTTGATTACTTGGTGAAACGTGTCAATTCAGCCATGCAGACCACCGGAGACTCCTTTGAAATTGCTATCCTCGATATTTATGGGTTCGAAATATTCGAGACCAACGGATTTGAGCAGTTTTGCATCAACTTTGTCAACGAAAAATTGCAACAGATATTTATTGAGTTGACGTTGAAAGCAGAACAGGTAAGAATTATTCAATAACTCGAGTAACTCGAGTTCAAACTATTCCCACAATTTATTTATTTATAAGATTATAAGATTTATAAGATTTATTTATTTATTTCTTTATTTATAAGAATGTTAACGAACAAACTATTTTTTTGCAAATTGTAATTTTGAAAGTTAAAAAACATGGAACTTATTCACAAAACAAATCATACTTTGCAAAATTCAATGAAATAAGTGATTAACTACACGGAGAGAAATATTCAATAAAAATTACGTACCTCTCCGTAATTCCTGAGCGAAATGTGGTTGTAGGAAATTTGAGAGAACTATCACGGAATTTGTCCAGAGCGTTCCGTAATTTTAATCTGAATCTGCTGTGAAAAATTACGATACCGTCACTTAAATTTTGAAATTGTGAATTGCTATGCAAGCATTAACACGCGTATAAATCCATAATTTCGCGAGCAATGTAATGCACCTGTCAATTGCATTTCAAGAATTCCTAACGACCTCAGCCCCCGCAACCCGCTAATCCCCCTAATCAATCAATTAGGAGGAATACATAGCAGAGAACATCAAATGGACGCCAATTGACTACTTCAATAACGCGATAGTGGTTGACCTTCTCGAAGGCAAGCGTCCCCCCGGAATCTTCCTGATCCTGGACGACATCTGCGCAACGCTGCACAGCGGCACGGGTTCAGCGGACTCGGACCTCCAGAAGAAGCTGTCCACAGCCTCCAACACCCACGCCCACTTTCTGGGAACAAGCGATGGCTTCGCCATTCTCCACTACGCCGGACAGGTGGTCTACTCGGTGGACGGGTTCTGCGACAAAAACCGGGATGTCCTCTTCACGGATTTAATTGAGCTCATGAGGAGCAGCTCCAACCCCCTCATCCAGTCCCTCTACCCCCCCGACGAAGAGGCGAAAAAAACGAAGACCCTGAAGAAACCGTCGACAGCGGGAAGTAAAATCAGGAGCCAAGCGAGTAGACTTGTTGCACAACTCATGAAGTGCACTCCGCACTACATCCGTTGCATAAAACCGAATGAGACGAAGAAGCCGCGGGACTGGGACCAGATGCGAGTGAAGCACCAGGTGGAGTACCTGGGGTTGAAGGAGAACATAAGGGTCAGGAGGGCGGGTTTTGCGTACAGAAGATCATTCGCTAAATTCCTGCACAGATACGCCATTCTGACGCGTGAGAGCTGGCCGATCTGGTCTGGGGACGAGAGGAGAGGGGTCCAGTGGATCATGTCGAGCATTCACATTGACGAGAGCCAGTACCAACTGGGGATCACCAAGGTCTTCATCAAAGCCCCGGAGAGCATATTCATGCTGGAGGAGGCCAGAGACAGAAAATTCAACTTCTACGCGAGGATCATTCAGAAGGCGTTCAAGAAGTTCTTCGCTAGGAAGAGACAGGACAGCGAGAAACAGGCAGCTGCTGACATAATGTATCGGCACAAGCAGAGGCGTAAACCGAGTCTGGAGAGGAACTTCGTTGGGGATTATATTGGGCTCGATGGGAGGCCTGGGCTCACGAGTCTTCTTGGGAGGAGGGAGAAGGTTCTGTTCGCTGAGGTTGTGAGGAAGTATGATAGGAGGTTCAAGATGTGCAGGAGGGATCTGGTGCTGACGGGGAATTGCTTGTATTTGATTGGGAGGGCGGAGAAGCCGGGGAAGTCGGGGAGGGGGAGGTTTGCTCGGGGCCAGAGAGTCTCTGAGGAGATCGTCAAAAGGAAGCTCATGTTCGAGCAGATTAGCCATGTTTCGCTGAGCACTTTGCAAGACGATTTTGTCATCATTCATGTCAAGGAGGACTACGCAAGTCTTCTGCAAGTTATGTTCAAGACGGAGTTTCTGTCGGTTCTCAGCAAAAAGTATCTCGAAGTCGTGGGGCATCCACTTAATATCAGGTTCAGCAATAATTTGGAGTTTAAAGTTAAGAAGGAGGGCTGGGGGGGCGGCGGCACTCGGCAAGTTAAGTTTACGCAGACTGGCTGGGGGGATGAGGAGGTTTTGAACTCGAGTGGGAAGATTCTGAATGTGACCATTGGACCCGGTTTGCCCGCCAATTCGAGACCCAGTAGAGCTGCCGCGCAGAGGAGTGCAACGAGGTAATTTATGAATTCATTGGATTCAGTAGTTTTTTGACTTCTAGTAGTGAATTATTAATTTGGGAATGAATCGCATAAGAGCCCGTGAATAAGAAGAATTTTTTTTATTTCATTTTGCTAAAGCTACTGCAACTAAGTCTTCTTGACTATAAAAAATGGTAGTTTCATGGGTTCCCCCATCATTCAAAAAAAATTACAGAATTTTTTTGAACAAATGAAAATTAGATTTTTGGAAAATGAAAGGACATGTTAAACATCTTTAATTAACATCCATAAATTTGTTGGAGCGAGTCAAATTTCAAGGTCTTGTTGAATGTTGAATTATTTTGATTACGAGGGATTTCCTCGGCTATGAGAAAAGTGACTTAACATCTCATGAAATCACTAGTTATCCAAATATTTGAAGAGTTGACAGGCTGTGAAGAATTTTTTTAATGGACAATAATAACTTTAATTAATTTGTCAATGAATCCTCTAGTTTGTCTATAATAATTTGCATTTTTTCATGTTTAGACCCATGAATTATCGACCTGCACCATCCCTGCACAATAATCCATCAATAATAAACCAGAATTCGAGACCTGAGAGGCCTCCAATCCCCGAACCGCGACAAACACCAAGAATACTGTCAGGTGTCCAAAGTACCGTTAACACTGCACCGACAGGTTCCAGACCCCAACTGCCACCCAATCGGCCACACGTACATAGACCTCACAATAATAACAGCAATAGTAAAGTCGCTGGGCTATCAGCATCCCTCGGTAAAATACTGGTGAATCCCTCGGGAGCACCGAGAGTAGGTCTCCTGAGAGCTCCTCCGCCTCCCTCAGACCCAGCACCACCGAATCAACCGATGGTCCATCCATTCACCAACAATCAGAGGACGGAGAACAGGAGCAGTGATAATCGATTGTCTACAGGAGTCACTGGGATAGATGATCCCAACCAGAGGCTAGCTGCTGCTCTTCAAATGCATTCCAATAGAAATAAGGGGCCCCAGCCACAACGACTACCACCGAGACCACCTCCAGTCTCGAATCTTCCAAGAGTCAAGGCTCTCTATGATTACAGTCCACAAGACTTGGATGAACTGGCGCTCAAGGAGGGGGATGTCATTGAAGTATTAAAAGAACGTGAGTCATCGTGTCGAATATAATTCTGTATTGAAGTGACAACGTTTTTGCTGATTGATTAAACCTCTGACAAATGAGGTTTTTTTCTTCTTTTCAACGGAAATTGACTCATTATGGAGATGATTTGATATTTATGAAAAGAAAAATGTTAAAATGTAGTTGACTCCAGCCAAATTTAATATTTTTGCTGCATGAGACACTTATTTTTTTATTTTGAAAAATTAGGAAATAGTCAAGGTTTTTTCCGATTAAAAAAACAACGGAAACGTTTGTAATTACCTAAAACTAATCAATCTCTCATTTGTTGAAATGGAAAAATACGGGTCTAACAGTTTCAATTCAACTTTCGTATCGAGGAATAGAACAATTTAATGCAAAACCTTATTTGTCCAACAGATCTTTTTATGTAGGGGAGAAAATTAACAAAATCTAGCAAAAAAGGTCTTGACATTCTCACCTAAACTCACATTTTATGTGAAAATTTCAACATTTGGAGATACGAAAAATTGACTTTTTCTTTTTGGAATTCGACAGTTTTGTTATTGTTCATTCGTCATTCCTAAACTCATTCGTCAATCGATTTAATTCACGTTTTGTCTTTCAGATGAAGGTGGCTGGTGGGAGGGCAGACTGAACGGAAGAAATGGCCTCTTCCCCTCAAATTACGTAGAAAAAATTTAAACCGTTACACATGATGATTTATAATTCCATTTATACCTTACGTTTAGAATTGAAACCTTCCAAAGAGACGCTGACGCGTCAATTAGGTCTAATATGATAGACCCGCATTTGTATCTGTACAGGAGTAATAAAAAGTGTCAAGTCAGACGGCATGCATCATGGGAATTACATGTTTCAGTGATGGGGAGGATTTTTACTCGATTTTGTGACGTAATCCCTTGTATTTCCCTCGGTCCCAGCATGCACGGAATTCTTGGACTTACTACCACAAATTGAGACTCGCAATGATTCATTTGAATTGAATGACTTTATTGATTTCACGAAATTAAAAATTCACTACTTACTGAATTCATAAGCTCTACAATAAACGATAAATAAAACTAGAATGAAGAGGCGAGAGTGGCGTTTACAGAGATGAAATTCTTAAATAATTTTCTCTAATAAAAATGATAAATTCGACAATGTAAATTTCATTTCGCTTGCAAGTATTTACATCATGTGGACGATTTAGTCTTACTCCTTTAAGACAATAAGCTTCACGCATTAAATATTACTTATTTATAGTACTGTTAAAGCTTTGTTCTTTTATTTCGTGGATTCAATTACCAATGAAAATGTCTCTTGAAACAAAAACAATCAACGAATTTTCGAAACAATGTAAAGTAACTATTCTCCAGTCAATTGGTTCAAACCGAAGGCCTTATATACCTTAAAATCAATCAACAGCAATTCACAGAGAATTCTTTTGGCAATAAATTTTTTTTCTTCTCGTGATTAAGAAAGATACTTCTTGATCAATTTTTCGTCGAAGCGAATTAAAAAAATATCTGCACACAATTTGTTCTTTAATACAATTTTTAGAATCTTCATTATGCATAAAAAACGTGCACACTAAATCATTAATTGAATAGAATGAATTAATGCCATGCACAGCTTCGTTATTTTCATGATAATTTCAAGTGGAAAGAACAAAAATTGATTCTTTACTTGAATTAATCATTTTGTTATTAATTGCGACTGCAATTTCTCATTCTATTAAATCACATTGATGTGAATGTAATGCTGGGATGAACCTTAATAATGGAAACAGTCATATTTTGTCTCAAAAAACAGTCAATCGAGTACAAAAACACTTGTAGCCTTGAACGAGTGAAATGAGCAATGAAATATAGATTCGTATCAGTGAATTATCAATTTTTCACGAACAAAAAAAATTGCACCGAGATGCTCCTATGGCACATTTGTGAGTATGATCAATCGACGATGATGATTTTAATTACTCCTAATCAGTGGATAATATTATTTCGATTTATGGAAACCCCCAATACGAATAAAATAATGGATTAACACTAGTTTAACTTTAAAATTGATTCTAAAGTCGTGAGCAAAAGAGAGCTTCAAACCCATAATTATCACGTAATAAAAAAGGTCCTTGGCGGCTCCTACCGTAACTCATCCCCCATTTGTCCATGATTTATCGATGTCTTTCTTCTCATTTTTCCCTTCTAATTTACCTAATTTATTGATGCTTTCATCCCCGAGTGAAAATAACCGAGCGAGGTAACTAAACGAGGCATTTCAACGTACCGTTCTACAAACACAATGTTCAATTTGTTCTTTGGCAACTCCACAGCAGCGTGAACTTCAAACTTTCCAACTTTAAAGCTCAAATTACAAGCACTTTATTCATTGGATAACGCAATTTTTGTTTCGCTGAGCTAGTCCGGCCCGGGACAAGTCTCTTTCAATTTCATCGTCATCTTCAATCCTGCAAAAAATGAAAGGGGAATCATGACAGTATTAGTACTACTTGCGCAGTTAATTGATAAACTTCATTGACTCAAATGAGAAAACTTCGAGAAATAATTTTGAAGTTGAGAAAATTTCGAATAAAACATCTATTTTCTCATAGAACTACTCGTTATCAAAACGATGATATTCAACAGGATATGAAAGGCTTATTTCTCAAATTTCGACACTCTTCCACTAAATGGGTCATTCATCTAAAAAATAGGTGAATTGAGAAGAAAATGTTTAGAAGTCTGTTTGCAGCTTGAAAAATTACTAAAAGATTCGACATTTTTTCATTCATCCTAAGAATAAACCATATTTACCCAAATTTTTTAAAATCACTCATATTATATCATAAACTTACGCTCTTTCTTGTGTATCCAAATGATGCACGAGCTCATCCCTCTTATTAACAATGGAAACCAGCTCCTCCAGCAGCAAATTCTCCCGGACCTTCTGCTCAGCAGTTTTCTGCCACTCCTCCACAGCAAGAATGCTCCTCAGCTCCCTATTCAATAATTCAAATCGCCTCTCCAGGTCGTCCTCCTTCTCCAGAATATTCAGCTGCATCTGCCTCCTCAGGAGTGCATTCTTCTTATTAACGAGAGTGAACCAGAGGGACATAAGCCGTTCAGTGTCTTCCTCATTATCGCTCTCCATGGCCGCTCGTAATTGTTTCTCGAGCTTCGCTGCTTGCACGTCTATCTGACTCTGCTCCCTCTCCAGTGCCTCCAATTCATTCTGAATGTAGGAAGTCATGTCCTTCCCCAAGCCTCTGATTGTGTGGGGACTTCTCTCGGGACTTTTCTCAGGGGAAATTCTTTCCAGAATTTTCGAGAACGAGTACAGTGGGGAATTCGTTTTCTTGTCGACATCCACTGCACTGGCGTTTGCCAGAACATTTCCATTGTGCTCAGACTGTAAAAGATTACATCGATAATTAATTGGAGTTAATTTATGTTAAATGATCATAATCAATTGCGATTATTAACAAATTATTTTGTAGTTATGATATTAATAATACAAAAAAGAATTTTCTAGTTTACAGAAACAAAAATGCTTTGCAATAAGAGAATGAGAGGGCCCTGATTTAAGAATAATTCATACTGAAGTTCAGTAAAAATTACTGCGAACTAGAATTTTTTTTCTGTGTGTTAATGTTCATTAGTTAGATTGAATAATCATTGAATACTTTTATACTCAGACGATCTCCAGGTGTAGACGGAGTCATACTTCTCCTCGGGCTATTATTCTGATCATCAATAGAACGTCTGTCGCTATTGTTATCATCCACCAATTGACTGGGTGTTACAACAACACCCATCCTAGCCTCTGCTATCAGTCTGCGTGCCCTCTCACGCAGCTGTGCCTGCCTGTCCTCGTCATTCTGCGCCTTCAACAAAAAGTTAGTCCATTATTTCTGTTTTGTCATGCTCATTATTTTTGTATGGTGTACCTCCACTGGACTTGATACTGGTGATGATACGTTCGACGTCTTTGTCTGGCTTCTCGCTTGCTCCAGGAGCTGTCTCGCACGCTCGCGGAGCTCGTCGTGACGCGTTACTAATGGCTGTTGAAAATAGAAAATCGTGAAATGTGCGAAAAAATTTAGCTAGACAATTTAATTAGATTTTTATTGAACATTCTATTAGTTTTTGACCGACTGTATGGAAAAATTCTGCAGTTTATCTGTTTTTTATAGAAATGTTCAATGGAAAATATTCTATGGAAATTCCTGGACTCCAAATTTTTAATTTTTTTATTTGATTTTGTTTAATGAGACGAGAGGAAAAAAGAATGGAAAAAACAGAAATTTTACGAAATTTCTTCCTCTGACGAATGTTCGGGGAAAATTCAGTTTGCAGCTATATTTTTAGATGATTTCGTTCTAATTTCTAATCTGGGGTTTGAGAGTAATTCTTACGTGTTGAGAACGAGAGTCTCCGTGTGATGGTGACATTGTTCCACGGCCTTCGGAGCTCGCCCGCATGCCACGGTCAATCAACTCCTGTTAATGAAAAAGGGCATTAGGCTCGTTCGGATCGATAGCTATTCATTCTTTTGCATTTTTAGAGGGGTGATAGCGTTATGCAGGCGAAAGAGATAGGGCTGAAATAATCCGCTGCACCACGAAAAGTTTTTTATTCCTTTATTTTTTAATTATGATGAAAGCTTCAATAACGAAGAGTAATTAGCGCCTTCAATGTGCCGCTCGATATTGCAATTTTTCATCAAAGAAGCCTCTTTTCAAAGATTAATAGTTCAACTCTTTCCTTCTATTTTTATTCACGTTGAGAGAGAGGGTGAAATACAAACTTTGACTTTTTGCAATTTTAATGATTCTCCAAGGTTTGAGGAATTTGTCTTATTCAGTCATACAAAGGGAATGTTTAAAAAATTCAATATAAGCAGCGTGTCAGTTAAATCATCTCGACTTTCCGCGAATTAGTTCATTGTTTTTTTCTGTTTAAATTCCCCAATTTGAAGATTGAAAATTGTTAATATCAATTCCTAAAAAAAATAGACTTACATCTCTGGGAGACATTGGTGACTTCCCCATGGAGATACTCTGTGACAATTTACCATCAACCACCTGGATATTCTCCTCCTCATCGTCAGAGCCAAAGGGATCAGTCAATTGTCTCCTGGTCATGAGAATGGGGCGTTGCTGAGGCACATGTAACGACCGAGGTGGAGACTTGCTCTTCTCCCTAGACGAGTACTTTTCCTTCGAGGGAGACAGAACTTTCCCAAGAATACTCTTTGAACTCGCTAGAATGATGTCCTTGACATCCTTGACACTCGTCGGAGACTTGTCTTTACCCAGTTCATAGTCCTGGCTGTCTGTGCTCAGACTCAAGTGCAATTTATGCTTCAGAGAATCAGCACAGGACTCGTCTCTTTTATAATCAAAAGGATTTGACCTTCTGTTGCTGTCTGCCCTGTGCCCCCTCTGCTCCATCCCCTCTTTCTTCCTCATGTTTCTGATTTCCTGGCCGAATAATTGAACGCTGACGTCAGAATTGTTGTCCGTGTTGAATCTACCGATCATGTAGGAGGATTCGTCTGTTGTTTTACCAATTTGATGAACCTGCAAAGTAAGGAAACGAAACATTAATGAAATTCATTAATTAAAGTTAAAATGGAAGATTTAATGAACCATTTGATTTTCCTGTCAAATTATCTACGAGAACTTTCCTATCCCTCTCGAATTCCTCCACCATTCAACGGATATGTGTGAATTAAAATTGATTGATCTCTCCACTCTTTGGCACAATCATGGGACAATTTATGATGACTTTATAATGAATATCTGTGAATCTCACAGAAATTTTTCTCACTCCATTCATTGATGTTCTTCGAACACTAATTATAAAACGAAATCAACTCATCTGACAAAAAAATTGTAAAGCGAAAGCAAATGAGGAGAGAATGGGGCAATTTAGGATGCTTTTATGATCTGTATCTCTCAATCTGATGAGAATTTTCCCATCTTTTCCTGATGCCTCTTAAAATTCTCATGAAAATACCCTATATCTCTCCAATCTTTCAACATTCTTCAAAAAATATTAGTTGAATGAAATCAACTTAGTAAAAAATGGGACAATTTATGATAAATGTGTGTCTCACAGAAATTTCTCTCACTCCATTCATTAATGTCCTCCAAAGACTAATTATCGAGAAAAATTAACGAATTTCACAAAAAATTAGGTAATCTTCTTACCTCCAATTCATGACCAGTGAAGTGAGCCCTCAACTGATACAAGTACGTCATAACCGCAAGTTTATCCGGCACCGTTAGTATATCCATATCCGCAGGTTCAATTACCCTGGGTATCCCAAGTGCCTCACCAGCATCGAAAGCCTTTTTACAGTTTCCCTTCACGTCGTGCGGCAGCAGGGAATCAATCTCGATGAGATCAGGTCTGAAATGATGTACTATAGCGCAAAAAGCCATTCCATTGCGCCAGGAAGTCGTGAGATTAGTGACTCTTACACCAGGATAATTTCTAGTTACATCCTTGCACCACTCGAGGAGATCCTGGCCAGGTGTTATCTCTCTCAGTCTTGGGGCGCCTGTCTCGTTCTTCTTCAGATCCAGGGGCTGTAATTTCGATCTCATCGCCGTGTTCTTGTCGTTCTCAACGGCAATCTCGTTCTTTATTGGAGATATATCCCGCAGGTTATCGGAAATGGCGCTGGCACTCAAGCCCCGAGGAAGTCTTGGCTCGATGTTCGTGGGAGTCATGGCATCGTCTTTCGCTAGGCTTGCGATACTGACTGGGGTGCTGGGCATCTCGCTTTCGGTTAAGCTACTCGTCATCAAGTCAATCTGCGTTGATATGTCTAGAATTTCGTCCAGGTTCTTGAGGGACACCTCCTCGACGTCCTCGGGGATGTCCTCGTTATCGAAATCGTCCAGGGGGGCTATGTCACTGTTGTTGTTTACTGACATTAAACTTGCCATTGACTGCATGTCCTCATCCCTGTTTCAATCATCATCAATTTATGAATTGAGAAATGCAGAATTTAGGAGTTTGAATCGTGATTGAATGGAGGAGAGAATTATGGACCTTTTATTGAGAATGAGTTTTTTGGAAAATATCGTGTAGTTTGGGGAGAATAGCTATAGGAAGCGTTTTCCTAAAAATTTTGCAATCTGCTATGCAATGTTAGAAAACCATTCTTTCTATTCTTGAAATTTGAAGTTCAAAATGTTGAAATTTTTAACAATTACTAATTTTTATGAAATTTCTATGTGTGTTGTTACTGATGAATCAGTTAATTTTTGGAATAATCAAGGAAATTGGGATTTTCAGGCCTATTTGGGCAAATGCAGGTAAAAATTGCTCTGAATTTTCAATTTATTCAATTGTAACTTAGATTCCAAAACAATTCTAGTAGTATTCGTCTAAAAATATTCATTAAGAACTGTTTTTTTGCCTAATTGATGTCTCAGAATGTAGGGAAGATGGGAACATCTTCTTGATTACGTTTATTGGAGGTCTTACTGTATTTTTTATGGAGAAGATCCTCAAGGAAATTGAAGAAATAATAATATACTAAAAAATTATCATAGAAAGAAAGTTTTGACGTAGGAAATTCAAGAATATGAATTGAATTTTCTTGAGAGCTAATTTTCCCTTCCAGTTTTCATTTCGTTCCACAAAAAAAACCCTTCGGATATTTTCCTACCATACATGCTCCAAAAACTGAAGTGTAAGTGAAATTAGTTCGTCTGTTGTTTTTACAACGCAGTTAATCAATTCAGTGTCAATGAAAAAACTACTTACGTGGCTTTTCCCTCGCGCAGAAAAACACAGGACAAAGTGCACTCTATCGTTGATCTAACGATTTTCTTGGATGTTGGCTTCAAGTCCAATTTCAATTGTTGCTGACTAGATTCGAGGGTGGCATATTTTTTCATGTTGATATTCGTGGCAGCCACGTGACGTCTTTTACCAGTTGGTGATACATCTTCAACAACGAATGTCCAATCCTTGTCTTCCAATTCGTGGGTTCTAGGGTCTTTGAAGAGAGTGACAGAGACAGTGTGATTGTCGGGGACTGGCCAGCTGACAATGCCAATTAGAGGATCGCTGAGACATGGCTCCCACTCGAGGGGCTCCGAACTCACTCTTCTGCTTCTTCTCGTCCATACTACACTCAGCTTATTAGGTTTCCTGGGTAATTATGGAGGGATTTTAATTAAAAATCTTCAGTGTTGGAAACTCCAAATAAATTTGAATTCCAAATCAATGATGGGACTATGATTCAAGTGGAATTCTAATGTAATTAGGGCGAGGGATAATTCAGTAGTGAGATGATGACATTCTTTCATGTAGATTTCATTCTTTACTAATGAGGTCCACATGGAAATTTTTCATTTCTCATGGATTCAAAGATATTCTTACAAAGTTAAGATGAAAAAGAAATGAATGGAACAAGTTGTTGATGAGTATCTCTGAAGTAAGAAGATATGAGAGAAGAAAAATGTCTGAAGAGAAAGGAGCAAAATTTTCGCGGGTCAGTTCCTTATGAAACAGAATAAAATTTACAAAAGAAGTCATAAAATTCTTTCATATCCTACAGATTAAAAGGGGTTCTCCACATATTGTCATAAAAAAAATCAACGACTTAGCTCTCTAGACCAACAAAACAATTAGATTTCGATGGATATTTCTAAAGCTTAAGAAAATAGAAAAATTAGAACGGAAACTTTTCTTGAGCAGAAAGTTCCACGCTCTTCCCCAAAAAATATCCTCATGAGAATTCGAATCTATCATAAATTCAAAGATATTTATATAAGGCCGTGACTATTCGCACCATTGCGTGAATCACTCCCGTACACTCCATACACTCCACGCATGCGCGAAGTTTGTGTGTTTCACGCAGCCGAATTTTCATACTGCTGTGTATTTCACGCAGTTCAAGTTTCATACTACTGTGTGTTTCACGCAGTTGAAGTTTTATACTACTGTGTGTTTCACGCAGTTGTATTTTTATACACCTGTGTGTTTCACGCAGTTGGATTTTTATACACCGGTGTGTTTCACGCAGTTGTATTT